ATATTTTTATTGAGTTTTTGTGCATTTCATATAATAGATCTTAATAAAATTTAGTCCCCCCTCCCCTATATGTACCTTCCTATGGACCCCACCACCACCAAATTTCATGCATTCATATATGTTAAGGCCTATTTGGTCAAGCTTTTGTGCCCAGATACCCTCAGTGCTGTGGATAACTACTCTTACCAAAATCTACAATCTAAAACTCATGGCCTAGTTACTCCTGTGAAGGCATCTGTTGTGGTCCCACTCATCCTTCCTGCCTTAGTGAAGACTCCTATTTTTCTGGAGACTTTCCATACTATCCTCAGGAAGGGTCTGATAAGCACCCCCCCCCCACCAGTGTGTTCTAGAAGAGGCCCCTCATTCCTCTAGCCAGATATACATTCTCTATTGGAGTTGCCTGTGAACCTAACCTGACTGCCAATGGGCCTGTTGGCTTCTTAATAGGCAGGGACTAGATATAACCTTTTTTTGATTATGTTTCCCTAATGCCTGATACAGTGCCTGGCATATAATCTATGTTCAGAAACTGTTGTTTGACTGTGTGAGCTAATGGGTTTGTCTTTCACATGACTTTAGCCTTTTTCCTTTTAGGAGTAAATGGTGTGAGCAGGGCGGTTTATTCTCATGTCTGACTTTAGATTTGGACTACCTGATTGACTGCACACTAAGCAGTGATTTCTGAGTTGTGTTACTGAATTTGCAGACTTTAAATGGAAACCCATCTGGCTGAAGGAGATGGTTTAGTGGTCTCCCTGTCCATAATACAAAGCTAGACTAACTGGAGCCACACATTTAAATCCCAGTGGCCCTGAATCATCCTTCTAAGGCAGATAAATTGAATTCTCCACAGCTCATTGCCTGGTGACAGTCTTCTGGCTGAAATCTTAGAAGCAAAGCTATATCTAGACATTAAAGATCCTATAAACCTTTCTTAAATGGAGACATTTACCTCAGTACTCAAAATAAGTTAAATGTCATATAAGACTCAAATCCCAATGAACTGAAAAACTTGGCAGTGAGTTCGGGTGGCCTGTGCATTGTTATTACGAATGATAATGGGTTGCTTTGGGCAGTCCATGCATATATGTAGTACCTTTCTCATCCTTTTGTTGATCATTATTCATGTGAATGTGTAATTCTGGGTGTAAATTTCAGCACAGCTGTAAATAATGGGATCAAGGTACTTAGATTCTCAAAAGAAACACTAAAAAAAACTATTGGACTCTGTTTCTGTTACTTCTAGACTTGTACTGATTTATAGTTAGGTAATCTTAGTTTCAAATGACCTATCTTCTACTTCTGGGTGAATGTAATATACCACTTCTCTAATATTATGGCCCAGACAACATAATAATTAGCAAACATCTGTGGTTTTCCTTCTAACTGTTGAGAAAAGATGTTTTTATTTCTTTTTAAAGACTGTCTTAAACTTACCTTATAATTTCTGAAGTTTAGATAATTCCAGGCAGTTGAATTTTAGAGTCCATGGATTTACAAACAACAGGAAAGCAGAATATCACCTAATCTGGATTGTTGTGCCTCTTGATGGGTGAGAATTCTTCCTGGTTGAATTGATGTAAACAACTGTTAGCAAACTCCAGGAATCTGGCTCTGATGGAGATGGTCAGTGACATGCCACAACACGCTCATTTCAGAGTTGGAAGAGGAGACTATTAGAACTGCGAAGGCCTGTTCAAATAAATATTAACAGTAGGTTCTGAGCTAGAAGTTACCCAACATGTATTAAAACTGAGCCAGGGCCCAGCAGGCAAAGTCATTTGAAGACCCAGAATAAGTCCCTCTGAGGCATGGGAACGGTGTATGTGAAGGCAGCTGAATTCTGCTAAAGATAGTGATAAATAAAAAGTAAGACTAATGGGGATAACCTGCACTAGGTGACAAGCTAAGAGGAGAGAGGAAAGAAAAGGGAGGTGGAAGCACAGGAGAAAGAGAAATCCAGCCAAACATAGGTGATGATTGAAGCCATGGGTTTGGTAGCATTTCCAATGATACAGATATATTGAGAAGCAAGATGACTTAGGCAGAAAGGAGAGTGACTAAAGAGAACCTGAGTGTGAGCAGCAAGTGAGGCAGGAGCAAAGACGCAGAGTGGTGCCATCACAGTAGCCCACCAAAGGTTTCAAGAGGGCTCAGAGGGTTGGTGCAGTGGGGTGGATAGGGTAAGGGATTTCAGACCAGGGTAGGATATAACTGAAACCACTGGCCACAACAAGTGTGTGCATTTTCAGTTGACTTCTCATGTGGAAGAGCTTACAACAACCAATTTTTCTCTTTTCTGTCTCACTATTTAGTCCAAGCTAGCCTTGGATTTTCTGTGTAGCTGAGGGTGGTCTTGAGCTCGTGATCCTTTGCCCGAGTCTCCCAAGTACTCAGATTACAGAGATACTATTTCTGACTTTCTCATCAGTCTTGTGTTAGTGCTGCAACCAGGGGTAGAATCTTACTCTCATGAAGTCACAAAGTCAGGAAGTCAGCAAACCTTGTTCTTCATTGTGGGTCTTTTTCTCTGCTGCTCATAGGATGGGGTCCTCAGTGTTGCTTAAGATCCCTCTGCCTCTGTCATTCTGTGATTCTTAAGAGGTCTTAGACTTCCAAAAGTCCCTATTAAGAATTTTAGATGTACCTGCAAAAATTTCTGTCTACTTTCCCTGTGCCCATGGCTGAGATCCTGGAAGTTACTATACACTAGGAAGAGGTGAGCACTTGTCTTCATACAAGTTGATTCCTCACTCCAAACCAAGTCTTAAGGATTTGGGAGCAGTCACAACCACCTAGTGCAGGAAGTGGCACATACTAGACTACTATCATGTGTCCCCAGGAAAACTGCGTGGAATGTCATTAGTGATAGCTCTCCCTGTTATCATCGGTTATAGGGACAACTGAAATGGATTCTGTCCCCAGCAGCATACCCATGACAGAATCACAGCTGGTTAATGATAGAATATATTTGTGTCTTAGCACTATCAGCAAGATCCTGTCATTGAGAAAGATTCTTGTAATTGTATGGTAGTGTAAGATCACATGCTAAAGCTCTGTAATAAACCCAGGAGAAACTGACTAAGGAAAAATTAATATAGAGGTTATATATACTGAATTGTGAAATTTGCCTCCCATTCATGTAGTTCCTGGAAAATGAGAACTTAACAAGATCCTGAAACCACAAAACTGAAACACTTTATGTTCAGTCAGCAAACTCATGATTAATCATTGCATAGAAGAGTTTATTGTTCTAGTTGGCAGGCAGGGAGGATAGGGTGGTCATCTGTCCTCAGGCCCCAGGAGGCAGGCTAGGTTTGAAGAGTTCCAAACATGGGAAACATCTTTGGAAGACTGATTGGGGCAAAGCCAGGAAATCAGTAAATGGCATAGCCTTCATGAACTGGGGATATACCACAACACTGGACTTCCTCAGAAAACTTCTGGTATAAGAGTTTCATTTAGCTAAGAAATACCACACAGTGTCTTTCATAAAATGCTGTCGTATTCATTTCAGGCCAAGATAAAGAAGTCACAAAATGTACAGGAAGAAAGCTTCATTTCTGAGATATAAGATTACTTTCAGTGAAACCTGGGATATGTAAAAATGTCTCCTATTCTGGGAATTATACTATCTTGTACTGATGATGGATTTTTGTATCCAAATCAGGGATTTTTATAGAGCAGGAGAAGATTTGGAAAATCTGAGACCACCAAGCCTCATATAGAGACCAGTTTGCAGAAAGACCCCCCGCCTCAGCCAGCACTGGCATAACATAGTGGGGAGGCCTGCTGGAGGTGTCTTCATTGGCATGCTATTCTGAGACTCATGTAGAGGTTGTGTTCTAGAAGCTGCACGCCCCTTTCCTTCTCTCCAAAATGGCATTCTCCATAACTCTCCCCTTTGTACACTCTGTTTCTTAGGAAGGCACTTCAAAATTTGCAAACCTGGACAGCAGTGTAAAAGAAAACCAGAAGCGAACTCAGAGGCGACTGCAGCTCCAGAAGGACATGGTATGTCTACTCCTGTTCTTCCTGAGAGCCAGAGGAAGGCTGCCCTCTGCCCTAGCATCTTCCGTCTACAGGGCATGCAAACTTGTCAGAGTGCTTTGTTGTGATTCACCTTATATCTTCTATTTTGGTTGTTAGCCTCAGCCTTTAACAGCTGTACCATCTCTCCAGTCCAACCTTATGTCTTCTTAGCAGCCTGGGGTCTTTAGAAAAGGTGTTCCACCCATTTGGCCTGGTAAGAAATGAAGACTGAGAGTTGTGAATGCCACAGCCTTTTATTCCTGATGATGCTGATAAAGGAAAGTGTGTAGCAGGCATGTCTTCATCCCTCTTGACATCTCCATCCACCTCTGCACTTATAGGCTATTGATGGTCTAGATCTTCTAACTAATCCCAGGGACTAACCAAATCTAGTTCTTCAGTACTCAAAGTATGCCATGCCTCCCTTCTAAAGATTGAAAGATAGTTATTATCTTTGGCTGTGTCTTTGAACAGTGCGGGGTATGGGGGTAGAAAAGGAGATTAGAGATGGACAAAAGAATATTCTCATCTTTGCTTTGAGAGAACTTTCTCTTAGAAAGAATATAAATCTGAAATATTTTTGAATGCTAGAATTCTTCTGTAGCGTAAAGCCTATAAAACTCATAGTGTTTCACACTTTTTGGGTGTTCAAAGATAAGTTAAAAATAGCTGTTACCGAAGGGAGGCATGGAGATTATTTTAGTTCAGGATGAGACCTTGTACCACACAATGGGGAACGACAAACTGCAGCTGACAGCGAGTTTCTGAAGGACAAAGTCCTGCTTGGTGTGAACTGGCTGAGGAAGCAGTCTGCCTTGTGCCAAGCAACCTGGCCTTGCTCTGGTTCAGACTCCATTCTTGCCACAATTTCCATAAGTACTTCCATACATGAAAAGACGGTATCCAGGGAGCCTCTTGTTTGTTTTCCCTAAAGAGTGGTTGTGTCTTGGGGGCATTATAGAAATCAGAAATGGTTCAAAGGAGATTTGGTGGAATTAAAGTTAAAATTTTTACCCATTTACCCCCATTGTAAATCTTCTATAACCGTGGTACTCCAGCTAGTAGAAAGAAACGTAGCATAACCTACCACTAGCATAACCCTACCAATTAAAATCCAGACTTTATTTGGAATTCACCTTTGTGTGTTCTAGAACTTGGTCCAGGTACCAAAGGCATTTAGTTTTCGTGTCATTCCGGTCACTTCTGGGCATGGCAGCACTGCCTTTCCTTGTTTTCTATGATTTTTGACATTGTTCAAGAGGACCATCCAGGTGTCCTATAGAATGCCTCAAGTCTTATTTGTCTTTGTTTAGTGATTAGACTAAGATTATATCTTTTTGGAAAGAATTTCATGATTTGGAATACCCCCATTGTCACACCCTATCAAGGAGTTCTGTGGTATCAGTGTTGGCATCTGGTGTCTGTCATATTGATGGCACCACTGATGATGTGACCTTCATTATTCGGTTGAAGTAGTTTGCAAGGTTTCCCTCTTTCAATTTCCTATTCTCTCTTCTGTTTTGTTGAAAGTGAATCACTTAGTGATGACCCACACTCTTGATCCTCTTCCATTGGGTGGTGGCCCATTCTTAATGATGCTGAGGCTACGACTGTCCAGGACATTTTAACAGTGGGAAGTGCCCACACACACTGGAAGAGAGCAGACCCCGCCAACCTGGGCCTAAGCACACTACAATTCCCATTTTGAACACCCTTGAATACATGTGTCTGATCTCCTGGTTTGATGCTTGCTTTTCATCATTAAAATGTAGATCTTAGATCCTGCATTTCCTGTCCTGTTTGTATAGGGTTTAAAAAAATTAAGTTCTGAAAGTGGCAGCCATAGCTCCAAATTAGTCATTGAATAGGTCCACATTCTCCAGTCTGAGGGTTACTGACACTCTTAAACATTTCAGTGATAATATAGATAAACAACCCTGCTCTGAATCTCCTTCAGGGTGTGATGCAGGGAACTGTTCCCTACCTGGGCACCTTCCTGACTGACCTGACCATGCTGGACACTGCTCTTCAGGATTACATTGAGGTGAGTTCTCTGCAGCTGGTGCAACTGGGTTCCCATTGAGAGCCCATTATACTTATGGCATTAAGCTATATGCTAGCAAAAAATTCAAAAGGTAACTGGAAGATAAAAGCAAGTAAAAAGAATAGTATATCAAGCCAGGCAGCAATGTTGGAAACTGTAGCAATTTTAACAGAAATTCAGTGAAACAAGATGCAGCATGGTTTAGGTGCATATGAGAGGGTGCGATCTCAATGCGTTTTGAAGGCATGGTTAGAGCAAGGACAGTGCCGGTCAACTTGAAGGGGAGATATACTCTAACACTCTCCCTGGGCATCAAGAGTCAGTCCAACTTAGCGATCTTCAGATCCTTCTTATTCCTTTTAAACAGTCATCTATTGTGACTGTTCTGGAGCCTCTCTCTCTCTCTCTCTCTCTCTCTCTCTCTCTCTCTCTCTCTCTCTCTCCCTCCCCCCCCCGCCCCGTCTCTCTCGTTTGGATTGGGGAAAGAGGTAAAATACACACTATCAAGCACCTTATAACAATAGTAAAATAGTAAGAAGAAGAGATTAGATGCTTGAAATGAGATTTAAAGTTCATTTGTAGGGGCTGGGAACGTAACTCATGGATAGAGCACTTGCTTCCCATGGCCCATGTTCAATCCCCAGCAATGGCAAACGAACAACAAACAAACAAAACCCCTAAAAGATCCCCCTAAAACAGCCTGTATATTTACATATTTCTGGTTTCATGTGTGTTCAACCTGCTTTTCTTGTACTGCAACTAGAAAGAGAAGTTGTTTTGCATATGTCTAAGTTTTCCATAAGTGTGTGGACACGCTCATTCATTTTGCATTTCCTGAGCCCTGTGTCTCTTCACATCCTCTGCCTCAGCTTATCTCAGGAAACACCACCAATGCTGAGGAATTCCAGGGAGTGAGCAAAGACTGAGGAATTAAATTCAGCCTCTGAGAAAAGGGGTGGTGGGGGTGAAGAATTGAAACTTAACTTTTCATGATGCTGTAGAGAAGTGACTTCCCTTTTGATAAACCATTGACAGTTTGGTTTCCAGTATGAGTCAGTGGCCATTTGTTTTTGTTGCTTTTGATCAAGGGAAAAAGCGTAATGGAGTATTTATTCACGCTTTACTGGCTCTGCACATGTATTTGAATTCTGACTTGTAATTCTTTATCATTACTATGTTAGTTGGCTTCAGACATTTTTAAGAGAAGGCTGTCACCTGTCCTGGCATATTATAAATGAAAATAATGTTTTTCTTAAAAAAAAGATGACCATTTTTCTCCATGGTAGCCATGTTTATGGGATCGTTAATAATTGTGACTTTATCATCCCTTTGATCTGTTTGACATGACTTAGAACAACATAGGGCTGTGCACAGGTTGGTTTATTACATTTTCTCTTTTTAATCTCTTTAGGGTGGACTGATAAACTTTGAGAAAAGGAGAAGGGTAAGTAGAAGTCTTGCCTATGGGTTTCCATTTTATATTTTCTGGGTGTAAAAAGTTGGAAGAAGTGGATATGTAATTTTTGTTGTTCATGGGTTTTTTTTTGTAGAGGTGGAATAAAAGAATTACCACTTCTCATTTATAATATGTGGTTATGTTTGGCATATTCTTATACATTAATTCCAAGGAGCCCTGCAAGGTAGGTTTCTTCATCTTCAGTTCAGTGGTGAGGAAATCAGAATTGAAGAGAGTCAGCTGTTAGTGAGCCAGGGTTCAGATTTTGTCCTGTTGCAAAGCCCATTAAGAAAGTAAAGGAATGATGAGACTCCAGTGGACGAATTTACACCGAAGGACATCTGGGTACAAATGCTTGACTGGATGGGCCTTTATGTGTATGGTGGAGTACATGAGGCCTGGTGGGGTTATGGGGGGCATGTAATGGGGTGGGGTCTAAGTTTGACTAAGAACTGTTGTAGGAAATTATGAAAGCACAATAAAAATTTTTTTAAGAAAAGAAAGTAAAAGTAGATGGGGCCGGAGAGATAGCTTAGTGGATAAGATGGCTCTTATAGAGGACTCTGGTTGGGTTTTCAGCACCTACATGTTGACTAACAACCACCTGAAACTCTAGTTCCAAGGGATCTGATGCTCTCTTCTGGCTTCCCCAGGCTCTTGCATGCAGGTGATCCACATAAAGTCATGCAGGCACACACACGTGCTTATAACAATAATAAATAAGCAAACTTTAGAAAAGAAATAAAAGTAGAGCTGAGAGTGTAGCCTGGTACTAGAGTACTTGACTGGTATATGTAAGGACTTGAGTTTGAACCTTGGAACTGAAAGAAACAAAGGGAAAAAAATAAGAGAAAGAAAGTAATTTCTTCCCTTGCCCCCCCACCTCTCCTTTACAGTAACTTTTAGCAAACCAGGTTCACTCTATAGTTAATAACAATGTATTGTTAATATAACAATTATTACTGAGAGTAGGTTTTGAGTGTTCTCACATGGAAGTATGTAAAGTCATTCATATGTTGGTTTGATTTAGTCATTCCAAATGCATCATCTTGTATATACCTTAAGTATCCACATATTTTATTTGCCAGTTAAAAAAACAAGTTCACTTATAAAGGAGAGGAGTTTCCTAAGAGTGAATGTTATTAAAGAGTTAATAAAGATGGTAACTCCTGTGGATCTGTTTGGGATAGGAAGGGGCATAGTCTTCCCCGTTAGGTATAGGTAATTACCATTGTTCTTTCATGTCAGTTTAGGAAGGGATGTTCAAAATCCACTAGAGTGGCTAGAGTAATTCTGAACTATGCTTTTATAAAAAGGGTAAAATGGGTTTGGGACATGCCTCATGGCATGGATTTCAAATATGGGAGAGAAAGAGCCCACGAGAGCTCCTGTCTTTGTGAACAGGAGTATTTATTCTTACATCACATAAAATGGACTTTAAAGACAAAAACACAAGAACTCAGAAAGTCATCATATAATTAGAAAAAGGTTGACTAAGTAAGACATAATGAATGTAAATCTTTATGTACTGAATTCCTGAGAGTTCAATATTCTTTAACAATTATTAGACCTAAAAGGAGACATAGGTTCTAATATTAGAAAGTTAGAGAAACTTTCATATCCTACCTTAATCAAAAGACAGAAGGGAAAGAAAAAACCAGGAGAATAAAAAATACGAAAATACTCAAAAAAATCACTAACAACATTAAAAAAGATTGTTCACCATGATCAAGCAGGATTCATCTCAGTGATGCAAGAATGATTCAACACATACAAATCAATAAATCTGATTTGTCAACACGATGAAGGGAAAAACCCTATGATTATCTTCATATATGCAGAAAAGCATCTGAGTCAATGTCCCTTCTGGAAAAGCCTCTGAATAAATCAGTTATAGAAGTTACACAGATCAGCATAACAAAGGCCACATCTAGCAACCCAGAACCAACACCAGACTGCACCAAGAAGATCTGAGCACAAGACATGAAGATGGCAGAGAGACCCTGTCATCACTCACTCAACCTGGCACTGCAAATCCTAGCCGGAACAACGGGACGAGACAAAAACAAAGAATATTCAAATTGGAAGGCAGAGTGTCAAATTGTCACTGTTTTTTTTTTAACTTTTAAAAAAGTTTATTGAGAATTTAAAAAAATTAAAAAATAGAGTAAAATGTACCATGATTTTCTTGTCAAATGAACACAAAATAGGTAATTAAATGTTTGAAAGGAAAGTGAGTGAGCACAGTAACTACATCCTGTAGTCCTTCACTGTCTTTGAGTCATCTATCTATCCTTTCATTCCACAAACACTGGTTGTACACCTAACACATGGAGGTTGGGCTTTCAGCAGAGGAAGACGAGAGCTCCCTGTTCTCATAAACTTTATAATCTAGGAGGGAGGCAGACAGATAAAGTAGGAAGTTATAATACATCTTAATGTAGGCTCATTAGGAGAAGCAGAGGGTCTTAGAGCACATAGAAGATACTAAATCTAGCCCTAGTTTGTGGGATCAGAAAAATTTGCAGGAGTAACTAATACTAGGCTTAAAACAAACACGGTACAGAGGAGCTAGCCTGGCTGGGCTCCTGAGAATCAAGATACCAGCCTGGACAGGAAGAGCTTTCTGCCCCTCATAGACTGTACCTTCTGTAGCATAATGGTAACTATTTCTTAACAGTACTGGACCAAGGAATGAGGCACTGGATGGAAGACTGAGACTCAAAGTATCTGCCAGCTCTTGAGTTACTTCTTTAGTGTTCTGTAATGATATATTAAACAAAACCAAACAAAATTCCATTATGCCTTCTCAGTAACCCATGCTTGGTCTTTAACTTCAGAATGAGTCTTGATGCTAATCTCTTTCCTTTTAAGACTAAGATGTTAGGCATTTGAAAAGTTTGAATATGAAACACAAAGTTAGAGCTTATCCTCTTTGCTGACTTAAAAAAGGAACCATTGAAGCGTCTGAAGAGGTATAAATAATTTTGGACATAATTATATACTTGCTTCTTTTGTGAGCTTTAGAAGATTTAGTTAAATGATTTACTGGAGTACTAAAAACCTAAGGATTCAGGAAATCTAAACATTCAGCTTTATGAGATCCCGGACTGTTTAGATATTCAGCCCCACTAGAACTTGTTTATTGAGGGGTAACAGTTGAAGAGTTGGGGATGGGGCACTTGGGGGCTTCTTAAACTTGAAGCATTTGTTTTCTTTGTTTTTTAAAGAAATACAAGTAGAAAAATTTTCTCAAACTTTTGCTTTTTATTCAGTCTCAAGAATGGAAATGGAAAAGAACGGCCATGATGAGTTGGAGTGATGGCTAGTTTGGCTTAATTTCATGATGTGTTTTAGTCATACGGATTCAGTTTTTAAACATTTTGTTATTTTTGTTTTATTCTATATGTGTGAGTGTATTCCCTGTATGCATGTAAGTGTACCCATGTCATGCAATGCTCCCAGAGGTCAGAAGAGGGCATTGGATCCCCTGGAACTGGAGTTACAGGGTGGTTGTTAGCCACCATGTGGGTGCTGGGAACCAAACCCTGGTCCTCTGCAAGAGCAGCCAGGGCTCTTAACCACTGAGCCATCTCTCTAGCTCTTATATAAATTGCTTTTTTCAAGGAGAAAAGAGGATTTAAAAATGAAGTAAACAAGGACTTAAGGGCTTTAGAGTGATTATCTATCTATCTATCTCTCTATCTCTCTATCTCTCTCTCTATCTATCTATCTACTATCATCTATCTATATATCATTTATCTATCTACATGCATATGTATATATGTATTTTTAATGTATTTTTTGGTTGTGGTATTCAGGGCATTGTATGTATCAGACAAGCTCTCTATTGTTGAAATACACTCTGCCCCCCAGAGTTAGAATTTTTAAGATTAATTCATTTGCTTTTTAAGGCAGCAGAATTTCAGAGTCCTCTTTGATGGTTTTCTCTATATTTTAACCCTTATGGTAATATATTTCTATGTTAAAAAGATCTATTTTTGTTTGGTCTTATTATCCAGTCTCCTTTTGGTTTTCTATTTGTTTTAGGAATTTGAAGTGATCGCCCAGATAAAGCTCTTACAATCTGCTTGCAACAGCTATTGCATGACTCCAGACCAGAAGTTCATCCAGTGGTTCCAAAGGCAGCAGCTTCTAACAGAGGAGGAGAGGTAGGCTGCCTGTCACCTGTCAGGGAGAAACTGAAGTGCTGGTGAGAGGCATGCTGTGTCTATCAAGGCATGCTGTGTCTGTCATCTTGCTGGGTCATTTGTTCAACAGCTCTTGGCTGGCTGCTGTAGGACCTGGGCCCTTGGTTTGCAGAGGAGTGTGATGTATCAGGAAAAACTGAACTGATGGGACCAGTGGATGAGCTTTTGCAGTCTTGCCCTGCCACTCATCTTTGTAACCTTGAACAGGATTTTTATTTTTCCTTAATGTTTGTGCTGAGGTGTAAAATCATATTCTAGAAAGTCCTGTGAGAATGCTAATCATTGTCATTATCATCATCAGGCAGCACCACTGACATCAACACTGTGTTCATGGTGTTAACTCTCAGGGAGCTTTCAGTCTGGAGGGAGAAATACGAAAAATTTGATACATGAAGGGTGACTAAGATGATATGGAACCTACAGGCAAGAGCCATTCATTTGTGGTGGGGAATGGAAAAGACACACAGATAGATACAAGTAGGCTGGCTTTGAAGAAAGAGTTCACCTGAAGAACTGGAGAACCTTTCAGACAGAGCAAAGATGAGAACACATGCAAAGGCCTGGTGTCCTGGCATCTGGAGAATAGTGATAGCGCTGGTGTGGGCGAGACATAGGAAAGGTTTCAAAACAGTGGCTGATGAGCATGGAAAGGCACTTCGATTGTAGTGCTTTGAATATTGGCTTAGCAGGGTTCAGACCTTGCCTGTAGTCTGGGGGTTGTCAGATTAATCTGTAAGGCCATATGTGGCCCACTGCCTGTTTTCACATTTTAAGTGGTTTGGGGGTAGGGAAAGAATATGCCATGAGATTGTTATTTGAAATTCAAATTTCAGGATCCATAAATAAAGTTTTTTGGCTTATAACCCATTCATTTACATCTTATCCATGGGTGCTTTCTTGCATTAAAGGCATACCATATGGCCCATAGACTGAAATACTATCTGGTCTTATTCAGAGAAAGCTTGTGATCCCTGCTGTAGACCAGGGATTTTCTTTGAAGGTTTATCATAAGGAAGAGTGAAACTGACAGTAAAAAAGTATTTGCCAGTGAGGAGCTGAGATTTAGAGGGGGAATTATAGCTAGTTAGTGACAGTGTTTGGATTCAAACTCAAGTCTCCCTTTCTACCGCTGCAGTGCTGATGTGGTTGTATAATGATGGATACTCTGACCCACCTACCCAGTAACTGTGTACCTGGGCTACTTGCTGAAGCTTCAGGTTTTCACAAGGGGCATTTCAAATTAGATAGAAATTCCTCTTGTGATTCTGTCAGTTAGTGTATATATACCTGGCATATTGATGTCTGAAGCTGGAGTATTTTCAACTGAAGTTTTAGCAATTAAATATAAGATTTGTAATTATATTTACATATCTTTATACATATTATAATTGCCTGTGTCTATTTACTAGAGGCTTGATACTTTCCAAAAATGCCTTCTTTCATTTTCCTTAGATTATACGCATGTTCATGCACTAAGAGACAAAACCACACAGTAATAGTAAGGAGGAAGCAGAAAAGAAATGTGGGGGCTCGTAGAGGGAGGAAGAGTCTCCCCTGGCCTGATAGTGGAATGAGAATGACTGAGAAGCAGGGTGCAGTCACTTCTGGTGCTGTGCATGTCACTCACCGTTATGTTTGAGGCTGACAGAATCAAAGAACCTCTGTCTATCCACTAGTGAAGGGAGTAAGGGAGGAGGTGAGGCATACCATGTAAATTTATTAAACCTGACCATTAAGCAAGCAGCCCCTGACATTCATGTCAGAGCACCACAGTCTAGATCTTTACTTTGGATGATGAGAGCCTTCCTCTAAAACAAAACCAGTAAAGAATATGAATTGAATCTGTTCATCTGCGCTCAAACGTGGACCTCAAACTTCCCTTGTCTTTTCCAGCTATGCCCTCTCGTGTGAGATTGAAGCAGCTGCTGATGCCAGCACCACCTCCCCCAAGCCTCGGAAGAGCATGGTGAAGAGGCTCAGCCTGTGAGTACCCCCAGTGGTCTAGGAGTCCTGAGAGAGCCCCATCAGAGTGGGCAGAGGAAATGTACTAAACAACAGTGAACATACACTTAAATCATTTATTTTCTGTTATGAACTCAAAACAGTTAATAATCAGTTCATTCCTCTGTTCTCCTTCTGGTACTAGCCACAGTCATTGCCTACCTGGACCACTCCAGCAGCATCCTTGCAGTCGTCTGACTGGCCCCTTGTTCCAACAATTCATTCTCTCCTTAGTAGCCTGTTGCTCTTTTGAATGATAGTTATGTCAGTTTCTTGCTTAAAAGCATCCAATGGCTTTATTTTGAATGAAGTCTAAACTCCATGTCCTAGTTTAATAGGCACTATGCAATCTACTGCCAACCTTCCCTCTCTCACAGCACTCCCCTTTGTTTACTAAGACCCACCACGCCAATTTTCTAGCCATCTTCAAACCCACCAGCTTCTTTCTGCTCAGAACTTTCACACTAGCTGTTCCTTTGGCTGGATTGTTCACTTCCTGGAGAGCTCCCTTAGATGTTGGTAAAAATGTTCAATCCAGAGAGAGAACTCATGATACTATTGACTCTGGGCATTCTCATTCATGCTGGCTGCTTCTGGAAGAGAAATGTAAGCAGTTTGAAAACAGGAACCTTGCCCATCGTGCTCAGGGGCAGGAGGATGAGAGGCCTTCTGTGGTCAACTTCATAAGATCCGTCTTCCTTTGAATAACAACCAGAGTCCTTAGAATGACAACAAACCCCAGCAGCACAGCAGCCTCAGCCCCAAACTGCCTGCCAGTCCCTGTGTATCTGTTCTGTTCTTTTCCTGCTCACTTTGCCCTTTGTGCTTCATCCATTGAGACCTTGCAGAACACACCAGGCACAATCTTTTTTTAAAAAATTGAATATTTTGTGTATTTCATACAGAACTTCTCAAACAATCTTAATCGTCTTTATACCCCCATCCACACTGGCACCCTCCCACCATCCCATAGCCTCCCCTCCCTGAACCCCTACTGGAGTCCATATACTCTGTCATCCCTGTTAAGGCCCAGCCATTGATGGCCATATGGAAACAGAGTCCTACAAACTCCTGGGAACCTGCTCATATGATTCTATGGCAATGGTGTCAGCATGCACAAGTCCCATGCAAACTCAGGCAGACAATAACCCATCATAGAACTGGGAAAATGAACAGCACAATCATTTTTATTTGCTTTTACTCTAACAACACCCTTCTCCCAAAGAGCCACATGGCTCACTCCTTAAATTCCTTCCAGTTTTTGTAGAAATAGCACCTTCTTGGTGAGCCATTCCTGACCAACCCACTTTATACTCACACCCTTATCTGCCCTGGGTGCTCTCACTTGCCTGCCTGCCGTCTTTGATGTTTTCCTTCACATTTTCCTCCATCTGGTATACTGTTACTGTATGTGTCTGTTTAGAATGCAAACTCTATGATGGCAGGCCTGATTTGGATTCATTGCTCTATCCTCAGAATCTAGAATGGTGCCTCACACACACATAAGTGATTAGTAAATATGTGTGGGATGACTAAACCAAACTGTGCACCAGGGATGCTATAAGAACAATACATATATTTATAAAATCTACAGCATGATCTCGGTGACAGTTTTAGTGAATATTCCCATTTCATAGATCAGGGAACTGGCGTGCAGACAAGGTAAACCATACCTAGGGAGGATATGGACTCATTCCTAGGATTTGGCTCAGGCCCAAGTTTACAACCCCCTTTGCTGCCACCTATGAAATTACATTCTAAAGGAAAAATGTAGTAGGAGTTAAAGATGAGGAGGAGGGGAGGAAAAGAAGAAAGAAAGAAAGGTAAGAGGGAAAGCAGGAAGAGAATAAAAAGAATTAGACCACAAACTTTCATGGTACCAGTTTTTATAAATGAACCAGGTTGCGCCATAAAGTTGGTCTTGTAGACTGTCAACTTTGAAAGATGTTTGTCTAATGAATCTAATGGAGGAAAGTAGTTAGTTCAAGAAAGCATCTCTGTCACATACATTATACACACATACATGTATCTGGTCTTTTGCGGGATATCAGCATTGGCCAGGGACAAGCAAGAATAGTACTTAGGGAACATTGGACAGATTTCCGTGGCCAAGTAGCTGGGGCCGAGTAGTTCATCTGACAGCTGTTATGTGAACTATGTTTTTTGTGTGTGTGAGGTGAGGGAATAATGCTTCCTGAATCGGTGGATTTTTGCGGTTGGTCAGCTTTGGAACCCCTTCAGACATTGTATCTTCATGTATGTTTCTTCTTCTAGTCTCCCAGTGTCTTCTGGAACTCTCCTTATACATGTGAAGGATTTTTATCTCCTTTGCCATATCTCTTAATCTCTATTTCCACATCTTTAATCTCATAATAAAGGAGGATTTTTCTTCAGATATACTCCTGATTTTTTTGAGTCTAGTTCATGATTATTTTCTCCAATTATTTAACCCTTCTGAGTTTTTAATTTAAATCACTATGTATTTCACTTAGAAAATGTTTTTTTTCTTCTTTTTAGAGTATCTTGCTATGAACTAACTTTGATTTTTTATGTCTTTAATATTTTAAAATATATTCTTAAAATTAGGACATTCAGATATTAGTCAAATAAATAAATTACTGGTTTCTTTCTGACTGATCTCAAATCAGAAGTTCTCAGGACATCTCCTGTTATGTCTGTAGATGCTCTTTGAGTACAGTAATTCTTTGCGTGTATATTGTACTTTTGTATTGTGAGCTCATTTTTATCAAGGCATTCTCTGCAGCTTGGGTAAAGAGTATATCCTTCCGGAAAGATCGATTATTGATTCTTTTCTTCCCTCCCCCCCTCTCTCTCTTCCTCTCCCTCTCTCTTTTCCTCCCTCCCTTCCTTCTATCTATTTCTTCCAGTGGTTAGGCCTAAGAGTTCCTAACTTCTAGGCCACATAGGCAGCAAATCAGAGTAAAACAGAGGCCAAGGTCACGTGACTTCAAGGGAGCCATCCTTCCTTTCATACAAATTCAGGCCAAGACAGACAGTCTTCTCTGTTATGTTCTTGTGCCTGTAGAAAGATATTTTCCTAACCCATCTCTTCGCTAAAGGTAGAGCCCTGTGAATACCTTGCCTTTACGTAGTAGATTTTGGGTTTAGCTTCTCTCCTTTTATAAATAGAAGTTCTCATTTCTCAGTGCTGTGTACATGTTAAATCATGATCAGTTCATACCATGTACATGTATAGAAATATCAAACTGAACATCAGTAGCATATGTAAATAATATGCATTAATACACTTTTTGGACTCACTATTTTGCCAGCATTCATACCTCCCACTTCCTAAACAGAGCAGCTGCAGAAATAGCTGATATGCTTCTGATTTTCAGTTCTCCTTTTACTTAAGGCCTGTAGGGATTTCCCTTATATCTTGCCAGCTCAGCTGAAAAGAGGCTTTAATATTTCTTACCTAGTTGTTTTATTGAGGTGGGGTTTGGATTATTGTAGTTCACCAGATGGTTGAAAGCAGAAGCGGCCTTCCTTGGTTTCTTATCCAAAGCACAACCACCTTTTCTAGCTTCAGGAAGTTCATTTTGTGGTAGGATGCATGCAATAGGGGCATGGTGATAATATTTTGACTCTGCCACACTAGCCCATAGACTGTTAAAGGACAGAGGAGGATTGAGCTAGAAAGACCCTCAGTGAGTCAGTTAAACAACCTGTGTGTTCTTGAAGTTAGAGAAAGCCTATTGGGACAAGACAGTTATTTCTATTTGTTAGAAACTTCATAGTAAACATTTTTCTTAAAATATGAACAACAGAAGATTGAGAGAACATCAAGGGCTTCATCAGCACAAAATGTTTGCTTAATCATGGATTCCAGATTTGTTACAGCTCAGACACTGGGCATTCTGTTTTCTAGACTGTTTCTGGGGTCTGACATCATCACTGGTAGTACTCCCACCAAAGACCAGCCCAAGTCCACAGCCAGTGGGAGCTCTGGTGAAAGCATGGACTCAGTCAGTGTGTCATCCTGTGAGTCCAACCACTCTGAGGCTGAGGAGGGCTCCATTACACCCATGGACACACCTGATGAGCCTCAAAAGAAGGTACATGCTTAACCTTTGCACAATTCTCGGTCCTCTTGCAGGCACCAGACATGGCAGTTGCCACAGGAGCAAATCTGTTTTTATGTTTGTACTACAACATTTTAAATGCTGAGTTTTAAGAGGTGTCAGAAATAGAGTTCATTCTTTGAGACCCATTCTTCATAGATACAGGCACAAAAATACTATGAAGATTGGTTTCTTCATTTGGCCTTTGAAATGTTCTGGGCCCACATCTAATGGCACTGAGGGGTTATGGCCTATAAAATAAGTCTACTTTATTTAAGGGGCAAAAAGGTAAAAAATGGAGATATGTCAATTTCTTGGTGCCACATGTTGTCTTAGCCAAACTTTTACCAAAATCATTGTATGGCAAAACACTCCAAAATAACCACCATCCTTTTAGGGAACCAGCTGCTTTGGTCAGGCTTGGCTTACAACACAGTTTTAGTCCAAGTCTGATTCACTTACCTGTCATTATTTTGGAGTAATGGGATTTCTAGAACATTCTTTGAGCATGCTGAGACATACAAAGAAGAGGGCAAGCTAAGCCCTTCAAGCATGTATCAAATCTTCCCTTGGTTTATACCTATCAATATTCCATTGGTAAAGCAGTCATATTGCCAAATCTCACGTAAGTAGTTGAAGCAGGGAGAGGTACTCCAATTGTAGTGGAAGGAGCTGTGAAATCTGTCATAGGGCAAGGCCACAAAGGAGCAATAAGGTAAGACATGGAGATATATCAACTTCCATATATGTCAACTTCCATATGTCAACTTCCCAGTCAGGTGAGGAGCTGGCAGTGTTGATACCATCTACCACAGCACAAATAAATGCAAGCTGTGAGAAGTGATCAAAGGATTCTCCAGTCCATTTTCAGGGCTGTACAAATAAATAAAAGAAAATATCTGCTTCAATCTAATGATCAAGGAACTTGGATCAGAGAGATCAGCTCTGTTATGAAAAAGGTGTATGGCATTTTGGGGAGAGTTTTTGACCACCAAACTTGCTCTGTCATGACTTCTGGCCTCTTAGTTTGGGTTGATGCCAATGAGAAAGAGTATGGGTGGCATGCCCTTCACTTTGTTTATATCTTCTGCTCTATGGGGGACCTACATGCTTTACATGGTATCTTCGGTGATAATGGCAGTCTGGGAACCCTCAAGTGACTTTGTCACAAAGTAGCCAATACAGGAGTGGCATCATATTTAGGACTCACTAGGCAGAGATCACTCACCTGCTGTTCAAGTTAGAATCCTTGCCCTTTTGTTACAAATCTAGCACATACAATCTTTCATGTTCCAAATGTTGAAGGAAAAACTGCAATCAACCAACAACTGGCCACTATCTCAAAAATCATGTTTCCTAAACTGGGAAACTAGTCATTCTCTATGGCTTGACATAAGCATTGGGTCAAAATAAACAATGAGGGCCTAGGGAGAGATGGCTTGGTGGCTAAAGTGCTCACCACACGAGCAATGAGGACCTGATCCTCCAAACTCATATAAGCCAAATGCAGTAGTGTGCACACCTGTCTTCCCAGCATTCCTATAGAGAATTGGGAGGCAGAGAGAAAGGAGACTCCTTAGAAGTTCCCAGGACAGCTAGGCTGGTGTACATAGTGGTAAACAAGAGATCCTGCCTCAGGCATGATGGAAAGCAAGAAGCAACACTGGAGGTTGTCTTTGACATCTGCATATGTGCCCCAGCACACACACACACACACACACACACACACACACACACACACACGCCTGCATTTTCCATATATATGAGTATGTATGATCTATCTATCTATTATCTATCATCTATCGATCGATCATCTATCATATATCTATCATTTATCTATCATCTATCTAATCTATCTATACACGCACACACACATGCACACACACACACCTGCACTTACATACACAAACATATACATGTGTATACATATACATCTGTCTCTCACACACGAAGGTTAAAAAATTCTAGAGTGAGGTCACATTCACTTTTTGACAGTAGTGTTTTTTGGGTCCAGTAAGCTGCTGGCTAATGTCATAGAAAGTGACCATGAATGTATTGCCCATGTCTTTGAGGGATTTTTATCCTTGTGTGGGAAGAGAGGAAGTCACTCAACCTGGTGATGCAGAAGAAGTGGAAGTTCAGATTTTCCTTTATGAAACCGTGGAGATTAGGGTTCAGGATACAGTTCAGTGGTAGAGTAATTAACTAGTATGCTCAAGATCCTGGCTTCCATCCCCAATACTGTCTGTATGGATACGTGCACACACACACACACATACACACACACACACACACACACACACACACACTGTATTTGAAAACCATGCAGAAGATCAGTATGCTATTGTTGGTACAACCCTTTATGATTTCTGTCTGTCTCTAATTTCTTTTTTAAGTCATGATTTTTTAGGATTTTGGTTGAACTTTTTTCAGAGCCCTGAGTTTCTATGGATTTAAAGATAGTGTTTGACATGGATGTATTGTGGGCTGCAGAATATTTGCATGTTACCTGAAAAAGCCCACATTTCTGCATGCACATAGCCAGCCTGGATGTCTTCTACAGTCCCTTCATAAGCTGGGATCCTTTGACGACTCCCCTCTAGCTGCCCTCAACACTGTCATCCTTCCTTTCCCACAGGCTGCCTGGTGAGGTTAGGTTGTTCTCTTTAGAAGAAAAGTGTAATTTACCTTCCTCTTTCTTCATCTCCTGATTATGTTTCTAAACATTTATTTTTCTGCTTGTTTTTCAGTACTTAAATTCTTATTAGAAAGCAGGGCTCATCAGACAGGTATGGCCTAGTCTTCTTCAAGACTTTATTTGAGTTATAGATATTGTTAGTCATGGAGACTCTAAGGAAAAAAGAAAGGTGAACATGAAAAGGTTTAACCAATAGATGGGAAATGGCTGGCATGGTGTGCACACCTTTAATCCCAGAATTTGGGAGGCAGAGGCAGGCAGATCTCTGTGCGATTGAGGCCAGCCTGGTTTACATAGTGAGTTCAGGTCAATAGGGGCTACAAAGAAACCCTGTCTCAAAACAGAACAAAACAGAACAGAACAGAACAAAACAACCCAAACCACCACCACCAACAATAACTAACAATAACAATAACAACAAAAACAAAAGAAGACTTGGTTAATATACTTGTAAGCAAAGTTATACTATTAAAATTATCCCCTCTTAGTAAGACCCCAGATTGAGCCACTTGGGAACAAAAGTATTTTAAAAAAACAACAAAAAATATAGCTAAATCTACTATAGATGCTACATATCAGACTTCTCATTGCAACCTGATGACTGTGATAGAACAGCCATGTGGCAGAATTTGATGTTTAGACATGCTGTAGGAAGACAACACCCCCAAGAAAGTAAGATGAAATAGCCCCCAGTTTTTTAGATGCTAGATTATCAGAAAGCTAAACTTCTTAATCTGTTTCTGTGGAGAGTTAGACAAGTATGAAAGAAATTAATGTTATTCATTTTTACTGATCTCCAGAATATTTCATAGGAGTATTATAATTCAATTTAACTAATTCCAAATATGGTATGTAGTTTTCTGCAACAATAATTGACCTTTAACATGATTCAACTTAGTGATCTTGTGTGGTGAACATCTTCTGGTGAGTTTTAAGCATCCCCTTCTCTGGTAGTGAATCTTGCATGTATCTTAAATATTTGGTTCATTAGAGAAGCACCACATGTTCTAGATGTCCCTGATGTAGGCCATGGGAATGTGTGTAGCTGGTTTTGCCAGCAAATGGGCAAAAGTGACAGAGCTGCTCAGGGGCTATGTCCTTCTGGAGAGTGATTTGATTTCTCTGCATCTTGTCCTTATCATTAGGGTGCTCTGCCTTTTCCCCCAAAACAGCTGTGGAACCTAAATGACAAAGATCTATGAAAATTCACTCACAGTGCTAAACATAGCAAGATAGCGGCGAATTAATTAATTCAACACAGCATCTTCCATGGCATGCTACACCTTGGCTGTGTGCCTGCTCTTTGAGCCTCATGGCAGTGACCCAGGGTGCTGGTCCTTGTGGGGCTGCAAATATATGTGTGAACCTGGGGCACAGTGTTCTTTCTGGGTGCTAGGCTCCTCCACCCAAGAAAGGGAATGGGGCAGGTGATCTGCAAGGGCTTCCCAGCACTAATATATTCTGTGCAGAGCTGCATAAGCTGCCTTCTTATCTCAGAAGCTTCTAAAAACACAGGCATTTCTCTCCTATGACAAAATCTGATTGGTAAGGGAGTCCAGACAGAATGCTGCCATCATAGCCATACTGAGAACTGTTGGTATTAAGACCCAATAAGTTCTTGTAAGGTTTTCCTCCATCTGTAAGCTTACTTAAAAGAGACCATGTGGGCTGTAGCTGTTGGTATCTGCTGCCATCTTCTGGCTAACTTTCATAAGAACAACTAAAACAAGAAATAGGAAAGAACCACTTTGCGTTTCAGATTCAGGGTGATTAGTTTCCATTGAGTCACTGACAGTATTAGCCGTGTGTGTGTGTGTGTGTGTGTGTGTGTGTGTGTGTGTGTGTGTGTGTGTGTGTATACACACCAGAGAATAGATATCTGTGGGCTGTTATGGAAGAAATAATTGTAAAGCACGCGTGGCCCAGGTTCTAATCAGTGTTCTCCTTTGAAACGTGTTAACACTTTCAGCTCTCGGAGTCCTCCTCATCATGTTCCTCCATCCATTCCATGGACACAAATTCCTCAGGGATGTCGTCCTTAATCAACCCATTCTCTTCCCCTCCATCCTGCAACAACAACCCTAAAATCCACAAGCGGTCCGTCTCTGTGACATCCATTACCTCCTCCACAGTACTGCCTCCAGTTTACAACCAGCAGAATGAAGATACGTGCATCATCCGCATCAGCATAGAAGACAACAATGGCAACATGTACAAGAGCATCATGGTAGGGAGCTGTCCTGGCCTGGGAGGTGCTCCATGGGGCTGTCTCTGTCTATTGGCTGTGCAGGCCAACCTCTTGAATAAGCACAGTATTATTGTATCTCTATGTGCACACAAAGTGAATATGCATGGATAGCAACATCTCCCTGGGTGGAGTTTGGTTGTATATTTATCTAACAATATAGGTGCACATAGAATATAGGTTTGAATCTTGCATGTATCTTAAGACTTGCTAAAACCAATTTATTCAGGTCAGTGTCCCCTTTTCATGGTGTTCAGGATGGGTGATTGTATGAATGTAGTCCAGGGAGGCTCCTGCTACTTCAAACCTTTCTGGAAGTCTTTCTGTATGTAGATTAATAGCTAAATTAATGTGCATTTCAGTAGCATACTCCCTGGTGACACATTTTTCTCCTTTAGTTATTTGGACCAAGCCTAGTTCCTAAAGTAGGTGATCAGTCTGAAAGTATGGTTTGGGTTAGTGAAGGTGATACTCAAAGAGTAAATGGAACTGAATTCTTGTGCTTCTTATAAAAATTATATTCACCTAAGGAGGATTTCAAACTGATTTTTAATGATGGGTCGTCTTTTTGGAATACGTACAAAGCCTCTCATGATGATAACTGTGTAAGGCTTTGGTCACATGATTAGACTCCTTAGTAGATAGGATCCATTACATCATACACTAAAAGTTAGATTCTTCTTGGCTGTACAGTCCTACAACGAATTCCCTGTCTCTCCTCAGTGCCATCATTCTCCTCTCTTGGGGCACAGTGAGTGCCTCTGCACCGAGGCCTGAATATAACAGAAGTGGTGTGGAGGTACTGTTCTCCACACCTTTTAGCAAAACCTTTGCTAAAACATTCATTGAATGACAGTGATGCTGAGCACCTGTGGTTACTAGCCCTTGCACCAGGTTTTGAGGATGGGGGAGATGAATGAGACTTTTTGGTGTTTGAAGAACTCATAATAAAAAGGAGAGACCATAAAGCACTATTCAAAATGTACTAAATGTTCTAACAGAATCCAGACCAGATTGGAAAGGGCCTCGTGTCACCACCCCCCGGGAGTTTGTATTAATTCTACAGCAGTAAGGTCTTGTTGGAGAGTTTTAAATAACCATCATATTTGTTCATTAGAAGAGTAATTGGCCTTGTAGAAACATACTGCTGGAGGAAGGACTAGATTGTGGGTGGGAAATAAGCTAGGAAGCTGCTCCCATCCTGCATGTGGGAGATGATAAGGGCTTGAATGATGGTCTTGTGGATGGAGGTGATATGGAGAGTGTCTTATGAGGTATTATTGTAAGATCCATTCATTTCATTATTAACCTTTTGGTAACTGTTGTAGAGGGTATGGAAGAGGGAGAGTATGAAGCTATCTGGTGGCTTGTTGGCTGGTGACTCTGTCCAGTAAGATATGAACTGCTGAAGGAGGAGGTTTGGGGGTATTTAGATTGTGACATCCAGATGGCATTGTTTAATAGATTGTCACAAACATGGGTGATGCAGGGCTGGTGCCGGGGTCTAATACTAGAGGTCTTTCAGTCCCATGGGTGGGAAGGAGTGCAGGATGAGTCACAGCTGAACTGGTAGTAAGGGCGTGGCTAATAAAGTAGCACCAGGCAAACAGGAGCGCCCTATGGAAGTCCAAGTCATCCGTGTTAGTACTTTGTTTTCTTCTATTCACACGGCTTCTTTTACATGTGCTGTTCAGAGAGAAGTGTTCCAACTGCATCACCACAGTGTCCCAGAATCCTACTGCAGCATAGAGATTTGTGCACAAAACAGTTATGCTGTGTGCCGTGCCCAAGGGTGTGGGCTCTGTTCTGTCAGGGAAAAGAGTACATTTGAGAGGCATCTTGGGTCACACGTGCTATTGGGTGGGTAGCAAACAGATAATCCCCAGAGTATTCCTTCCTTGGTGCTGAGACTGCCTCTGAGAGAACTGCCCCTTCTGCTGACAACAGGCTACTCCAGTGAACCTTACCCAGTGTGAGGTCTTCTAAAGAGAAATACATCCCCCAGGAATTCCCTTTGTGAAATTAATTATGCATGACAGGGCAGAAATAATTCAGTCTAGGTCTGTTCTAGAGTAACAGGATCCCATTATGCCCTGACAAACTGTTGAATATACCAAAGAACTTTATGTTGTGTACATTATATCTGTTGATTGTTACCATATTAAGCATTGAACTGGGAAATTTAAAAAATTTAACTCCTCATCAATAATAATAATAATGATGAAAATGTTGCATGCAATGTAAATAATAGTTAATGAAAAAATATATTTTCCAAAAGAAATATGGAGTAAGAAGAGCAGTAGGCTGGTTTTCTGTTTCCACAAATCATTTTCTAGAATATTGGCTGAGATGTTTTATTTTGCTTATACTATATAATGAAAATAAACTTGCACACAGGTATACACCAATCTGTGGGTATAAACATAAGTAATTAGAAGGCAGTTTAACTATGTGTCCCTTTACCAAAACATCACTAGTAGGTTCCCCTACAAAGTCTGAGACCTCCATCGGCATACGCTTTTTATCAGGTTTGCAATACCAGGCATTTATTCCTTCGCATGGAAGAGCCTCAGATCCAGACAGAAGGCAATTGATTACTCTTGGAATAATTTTATCACTATTATAACAATTGGCATATTGAAAACGTTGTATTGATTATATACTGGCAATATTTTGCATGTATTTGATTAAATAAAATATATCATTTAAGTTTTGCTTTATAAGAGTTTTTTTAAATGTGGCTACTAGGGGCTGGAGAGATGGCTTAGTGGTTAAGAGCACTCACTGATTGCTCTTGCAGAGGACCTGGATTCCATGCCCAGCACCCACATGGTGGCTAACAACTATCCATAACTCCAGTTTCAAGGGATCCAGTGGCCTCTTCTGACCTCCATGGCATTGCACGACACAGGTGAAATTACATACATGCAGGCAATACACTCATACAGATAAAATAAAAGTAATAAAATATTTTTTAAAAAATGTGGCTACTAGACATTTTAAGACAAACATGTACCACACATTACATGTTTGTTGGGAAGTGCTGGTTCAGTATTCCAGCATAGAACTCATGACTGGAGTGTTAATACTAACTAGTTATATGTAACTGTTAGCCCCAGTAGCTTTTATCTTACAAAGTAATAAACAGTGGAGGAAAGCACTTAGCAACTGTCCTCATTTTCTAGCCTGGCCTTTTTCCTAAACAGGAAGCTTAGGTTTTTATACTTAAATCTGTCTTAGGCTAACATTTATCCCACAGGTGTCGTTTTCCCTATAGTTTTACACTACTAGTCTACTTTGAGCCCATTTGGGGAGAATTTCCTTTAAATTATTAAAAAACTGTATTTTTTTCCTTTAGAATTTTATGTGTATTGACTCATCCTTTGTCAATAGATATGCCAGACGTTTTGGTAATAGGCAAATGAGCAAGGCCTTTATTACTTACATGGACCCTGCTGTAATGCATGCTACTTCTTGAATCGCGAACACCAGCTGCTGCCCTGGTCTCAGGGAGGTGCTACCATGCTCAGAATGCAATGATAGAACTCCTTGGAGGAAATCGGACTCTGTGGTGTGTGTGTGTGTGTGTGTGTGTGTGTGTGTGTGTGTGTACACAAGCATGAACAGGAATGTTTTCTCACCTCCTGGTGAGAAAAGCTTTTCTTTTAATAATAATCTGAGTTTTCATTCACTTCTTTTACACTTAAAGAAATCACTCATGTCTCCCCATCACTTTTTTCTTTTTCTTTTCTTTTTTTTCCTTCTTTCATTTATTTATTTTTATGGGTCTTTTGGGTACTCTAACATCCCCCCCTCTGAAGAGGTAACCCTAAAATCTTTTAAGGATTAGCTACAAGCTCCCAAATATTTTTGACGTTTTTGGCCTTTGGAACAGAGTATGTGGCTAAGAAGCCCAAGGACATTTGGACTTTTAGCCAAGAAACTGACTACTTTTCTTTGGGGTCTTTTTACCCAAACTGCCTAGCCAATTCCTACCTCCTATTCTTATCACACCATCCAGGCTGCTCTGGCTTCATTTGTGTTTTAAAGACATATAGATGATTTAATTTTTTAATTTAAAAATATAATTAATTAATTTTTATTTCATGTGTATGAGTGCTATGCCTGCTTGTGTGTAAGTACATCTGTGTCATGTAGTGCCCATGGATAACAGAAGAGAGCATTGGATACCCTGGAACTGGAGTTATAGACAGTTGTTAGCCACCATGTGGAGGTGCTGGGATTTGAACCCAGGTCTTCTATAAGAAAAGCCACCAACAGAAGTTGATTTTTAGTGAAGTCTTTACATATAATTACAGATCTTAAGTGTTCAGTTCTTTGAGTTTTAAAACCTATATATTTCTGTGTAGACACCACCTTGAATCTAAATGAAAAATATTTCCAGCCCCCAAGACTCTGTATGCTCTTTGCAATCAGTCTTCTTTAGTCTTGAGGCTAGTTTTCTAATTCTGAAGATGTAGGTATTTTGGTTTTGTTTCTCTGTTTTTATTGTTTTTTTTTTTTTTTTTTTTTTTTAAAGAATGGGCTCTGATGTCATCTAATCTTAAATGTCTGGTTTCTTTTACGCAACATTTTTGTGAGATTCACCCAGGTCTCCCTGTATCCCCGACTGGCCTGCAACTGGCTTTGTAGACCAGGCTGGCCTCTGTTTCTCAGAGATCTACCTACCTTTGCCCCCCTGGGTGCTGGGATTAAAGGCATGTGGCACCTTGCCTGGCTGTTACAGATAGTCCTGGGTTTGGAACTCAGGAGTCCTGGCTCTTTGTCTTGTTCTTAGACCTCCTAATCCATTTTTCCCAGAGAAGCATGTCCCACACAAGACAGCAGGAATAGGAGGCTCAGGAAACTCAGGGAAGCATGAAGTGAAATACTTCAGGGATGCACTTATGTCTTTGCAGTTGACAAGCCAAGATAAGACCCCCGCTGTGATCCAGAGAGCAATGCTGAAGCACAATCTCGACTCAGACCCAGCTGAGGAGTACGAGCTGGTGCAGGTCATCTCGGAGGACAAAGGTGAGCACGCATCCCCTTTGCCTGACAGGTGCTGGCAGCACACATGTTCCCCAGATGCTGACAGTAGTAAAGGGCTATCATGTGTGTGTGGAGAGAGAGAGAAAGAGAGAGAGAGAGAGAGAGAGAGAGAGAGAGAGAGAACATATGAGTAGCATATTTGCACATGTGTATGTATATCTCTGTGTGTATGTAGAGCCAGAGGAGGACCTGCTCTATTACTATTACTCCTTATTCTGCTGAGATAGGGCCTCGCACTATGCCTGAGCCAGCCTGACAGCCAGCAGGCCCAAGCCATCCTCCTGTCTCTACCCTTGATAGGGCTGGGTTATGGGTGCCTAGCCACAGCCAGATTTTTACCAGAGTGTTGGATCCAAACTCAAGTTCTCATGCTTATACAAGCACTCTCATCCAGAGCCATCTCTCCAGCCCCCATAGTGCTGTTTATTAATGGTGTAAGGTGAGAACCCTCACATCCCCTCATTATGGAATCAAGCTCTCAAGCTCTTCACCCAACCCCCAGCTCTTGGGTTTCTTGTTTGTTGTTTTTCTTCCCCAAACTTTTGCTGAGAATTCCTCCTGCCCATTGCTTGTGTGCTTCTCATGGAGTATGTTTATGACGCAGTCTCTGTGTGTCAAGAGAAGTGGATGGAATCTGTTGGGTCTTGGCAGGTGGCCACACATCTCCTTTGCCTGACACTGGGCTTCTCAGTGGTATGTGAGCTGAAAGCAGTCCATGTCTGCTTTTAGCCCATCATTCGATGTTTTAGCCCATCATTTGTGAGAGGCTTTCTTTTTATTTATGATCAATCTTTAGCAGCCAAAGTTTCTATTTAGGAGTTTCTAACCTCACCCTTACATCGAGGCAAAGAACTGGTGGTCTATGGAATGTGTCTGTGCAGCCAGGAGCTCCTTATTTATAGAAATCATTTTTAGGAGGATACTTTGGACAAATAACCAGCCCTGAGTATATCTATTTGCTCATTTGAGTTGGGGTTGGGTTTAGAGAGAAGGATGCAGGCTGGTGAATAACTCTTCTGTCACACTGACTCAGTCAGAATGAGACTCTTCTCTGAGAGCAACAGGAACAGCACACATTGTTGACTGAGGCCAGTCCTGCCTGTCACAGACCCATACCCACTGTCCCATCTTAATGGCGGGCTCTGCTCACCAACAAAGAACACTTTCCTCCCCATAATGCAAGAGGGGAATTATAAAAGATGATGGTCTGGGATGGGGACAGCTATTCACTCTACATTTGGCCAACAGATTACCAGAGTTCTGTCTGAGGCTCAGAGATGAGTGGCTAAAATTAAAAAAGCACCTTTTCCTAAATATTAAAAGCCGCAGTCTCTGAGCCAATCCTTTTCCAGATACCTACTGGAAGTTTTCTCAGTCAGTTCTTCTGCTCCTTGGGCTGTGGGACAAAACTTTCTCAGTTATAGCTTTTATGGAATGTGTGTGTTTGTGGGTGCACATGTGTGCAGGGATCCACTGGCTCAGCCTCCTCAGTGCTAGGATTACAAGCATATTCCCCCACATCCAGCTTTTTTATGTGGGTTTTGGGGATCAAAGTCAGGTCCTCATTGCCTGCAAGGAAAGCACCTTAACTGACAAAGCCAACTCCCCAGCTCTTAACTATAACATTTAAATGCAACACCAAGGGAGGCCACTGGGTCTAAAGATCTAGAGGACCAAAGATGAAGGCTGGGCCCAGCTGTCACCAGCTGGGTGATCTCGGGTACAATGCTTGACCTTGTCGGCCATGGTCTTTACTGAAATACCTACAGACAATAACCCTTTGACTCCTCATACATCACAGAGTGATTGTGAAGTTAATGGAATAATGTACCTGAAGGCGCTTTGAAGAAATGCTAAGTGATGTATAACTGGGAGGGATATTGTTGTGGGTCCAGGAATAGGTGGGCAAGAGTGAGACACTTTGAGAGGGATAGTTCTTGTGGCATGTTAGGGACATAATATGCCAGTCATTGAAAGCCTCATTGTCTTGGTCTTGCTGTGGGGCAGTGTGAAAAGTTCACTGAAGTTCATTGAACACAGGTCTGTAGTCAGCGGCTCCTGCTGCTTTCTTCCACAAAGCCAACCCCACTGGTACAAAGCCAAGTACCCATATTTGCCCATTTTAGTCTCTGACTTTTAGATAGTCATTGCTCCTAAGTGCTGAATGTTTCTCTCTTAAATATAAGCATGAATCAAAATAACTTTGCTTGGATCATTTGATATTACATTGGTGACAAGCCTTGTTCAGAATTTGTGGGTATCTAGTTGGGAGTCACTGAAGTTGAAAATAGCTTAAATGTCAGCATTATGCACTGCCTTATACAGATGCTGTCTAGTGTTAAAAAGCAAAATCTGAATAAAGCAGTGACTCAAAAAGAGTAAACAACCAGTTTGACTTGAGATTACTTCAAAAATATTTTAATAATCCAAGAGAAGGGTTCTGGAGAATGTTGTAGGTTTTCTATGTTTTATTTCTTTGACGTCCCTTAGTCTTGGGAAAACTTGCATGCCTGAGCGCACGAAGCTGGCACAAGGTGGAAGACAAGGGTTCTCATTCCAGCCGTGCAAGTCAGTGGCTGTGATCCTGTTCTTCTCCTGGTGTTTTGGCCTTTGTTGCTCGCTTTTTGCTTTAACACACTGTTTGAGGAATAAGTCATGGGTTGGGGGAATTCTGAAACTTATTTGCACTTGGTTTCAAATAGGGATTAAGTTATTGGGACCAGTTCTGAGGATGTTCTCATTGCCTAGCCCAGGTCATATTCAATCAATGAAGGCCTCCTCCCAGCATTGTGTTTGGGCAGGGTTGACACCTGCCTGTTGGTGCTAGGCTGCCCCTCTCAAACTGACCAGCTGCTCTTTGTCCTTTCCAGAACTGGTGATCCCAGATTCAGCAAATGTCTTTTATGCCATGAACAGCCAAGTGAATTTTGACTTCATTTTACGAAAAAAGAACTCAGTGGAAGAGCAGGTGAAGCTGCGGAGTCGGACCAGCTTGACATTGCCCAGGACAGCTAAGCGAGGATGTTGGAGTAACAGACACAGCAAGATCACCCTCTGAAGGGATTGATAGACCCCTGTTTGCCAAAGGCAGAGTGGGTCTGAGAACAGGCTGTGGTAACTGCAACTACCACCCAGTGTTAGGGGATCACTGGTGAAGCCAACAGATATTTATTGGATACAAATGATGTACAAAGCACTGTGTGGGGAGAGTGGACGTCAACTTGACATGAAAAGGATGAATGACTCACTGATGCTCTTTGACTTATTTGAGACTGAAATACAAAAGTGTCCACATTGATAAATATATATGCACACATATCTCGTGTATATATATATATATATGTGTGTGTGTGTGTGTGTGTGTGTGTGTGTGTGTGTGTGTGTGTGTGTATAGGTATATAAGAGGGACTTTATGGGATATTCTGGACTATGGAAAAACCAATTTGCACAATGGCCTGGGAAACTGAGGTCACTTTTTACAGGGAAATAGAAGGGACTGAGAACCTAATCTCATACCTTCCAAGTAAATAGAATCAGACCTACCAGTGCAGAGTATTCCTCATGCCAGTATTACAAGAAGTCCAAGCTTTGTTTTTGTAAAGGGAGAGGATTTCTTTCTCAGTCACTTGCTACCAGGTGGAACAACTGCAGAGGTTGGAGTGGCCACAGGCTGTATGAAAGGCCGCCATGGAAAGGTTTGGATGAGTCAGTGGTCTACACCCCTGCCCGCAAATGCCACTTTTTGGTCCCCAGAGAAGGATCTGGAGGAGTGTCAGAGGCCTGTGTGCCTTGCTGGTCACCATCACAATGCCTCTGGAGTCAACACAAACTTGTTTGTTTCTGGAAACCCTGTTGTGTTTCTGTGTTCTCCTAAAGAACATATCATATTCATTATTGCACAAGTAGCCATGGTCTTCGGTGACTTATCAGCCAGAAGAGAAGGCGCAAAGCAATGGTGACATGTTTGGACTCTTTCTGTTGTGGGATGCCACTGCTCATCGCCTTTCTGATTGCTTTTTGCATGTAAAACTGTGTGTCTAGAGTCTTCTGCCATCTGGATCTTAGTACCTCTATATTATGTGCAATTTGTTCCTCAGGTGTAGGCATTTCTACTGCGATTGACTACATTTGATCATTTCAAGCTTGTGAAAGATTTCTGAGCAGAGATTTCCCTGTTAATAGCCCCTCAGAAAATGTCCCCTGCTGATAACAGCATCTATTTTACTTATTAACTTTTGTAGCATTCCTGTGCCTAGTCACAGGGAAAGAAACGGGACTGCATACAGTATCTCAGCCCTTTCTCAAGAGGTACATCCTTCTAGATGGAATCAATGGCATTCTTTTTCACATCCCCACACCTGCTCTCCTAGCATCACAGTTTTGCCTGTAGTAACACCATCATACACTCCGTTCCAAATCTGAGCTATGCTGGTGTTTAAACTAAAAAGCCATATGTGAAAAGTTGACATGTGTAAGAAGCACTTTCAGATCATTGTCCTTTTTTAAGAAAAAAATTTTCCCCAAATACCAGTTTTTATTCCAAAAATAAAGAGAATGAACCTAGAATATGAAGTCTAGATTGTAACTTGGAGCATTCCCCCCCCCCAACCCTGTACTATAGTTTCCAAACGTTGTGTGGGATTTATGTCATGTAAATAGCCATATGAATTCAGCAAAAAACACCGGGAAAAGTTCAGAGCTCTGTGGCAGTGGACCAAAGAATGAGCCAGGAACTCTTCAGAGTTCCTTGGTTTTCCTAGGAGACTGGACTGTGTACTATGAAGACCAGCAAAGTATCAACTAGTCAAAAAGCACTTTCTTCTGTTAGTGAGCCTTGTTTGGTTTGTGCTTCTGTGAGTTGAGGAGAGATGACCAGAGTTGCAGCCATCGTGAAAGTTAAGTAAATGTAGCCTCAGCCTGACTTTCTTGGTGTCAAGGTCAAGACGTAAATGCAGAACTATTGGCCTAGTTTAGGGTGTTGCTACCAAGACATCCATGTTATACCCATGTTCTCACCCTGTGTATTTATACTGTACATGTACAGCATAGATTTGTATACTGCAATGTAAAAAAATATATATATTTACCTTTTTAAAAAGACAATGGAATTCCAAGGAGATAAAACACGGCCTCATTTATTTAATGCCACTTCAGTTGTCCTAAATTGCTTCCTGGTGAACAGCTGGGCACTGTTTTCAGCTGCTCGCATGCTTGTCTTTCTGCATCTCCAGCATCTGTTTACCTTTTGGTTAAACTAATAAACTGATTTGGGACTTGGTTGGCATGTGCTGCCAGACCCAAAGGGCTTGCTTGTATCTGGAGTGTTAATCACGTGAGTCCTAGGTTCTGAATTGAACAGCATTCAGAAGCCTTTTCTGGCTCACACCTGGAGGGACAAGAAGGAGAGCAAGTGGCAGAGGGTCCTCCCCACTGGCAAAGATTATTAACTTAAAGGGGAAGTGATATCCTTAGAAGACTTGAGTCAGGTGGTAATGGGCGGTAATGCTAGGTTGCTACTTTTAGGAGCCATGCCGTGAGGCTGCCTTTTATAAACAGGAACTTGGAGTGAGGCTACAAGGTAGTTATTGCCATCTGACTGAGGGCCTGTCTCCCATGCAGTAACGGTACCTTCTGGACAGCTGTGGAACCTTCTGGGGTGCTCCAAAAGTGAGGACAATCTTTATAGAAGGGGAAAGGTCTTCCTAGGTGTTGTGTCTCAGTTGACTTCACTCAACACACAAACAATATCATCATTTTTCATACTTGTTACCCAAAGCTTCCCAGGATTATTTACAAATGGATTCTAAGTTGATCCAAATTATAATCTTTTAGTGGCACTTTGGAATTTTAGAGAGAATGAAATAGTCTTTAATAGGGAATTGATAATGTGGGGGTAGGAAGTTTTTTTTCTTAAATTATGTGTGTAATTTGTGTGTAGATCTGTATGTGAGTATATGCATGTGAGTTCTGGTGCTCACAGAGGTATCTGATCCCCTGGTGTTACACATGGGTTCTGAGAACTGAAACCAGGGTCTTCTGGAAGAGCAGAATGGACTCTTAACCTCTGTGCCATCTCTCAAATCCAGGTAGAAACAAAATTTTAACCTCTGGCACTAGGTAACTACTTTTTCAAACCATTCTAGAAAATAAGTTCCCTTGTTCTATATGTTTCTAGAAACTTGTCCTGGAGACTTTTGCTTGAAGTACTGATGTCTTCAGATTGCCTTCTCTGAGGCACTGTCAAGTTCTTCACCCGGTGCCAGACTGCAGGAGGCACAGACCATTGCCTCACTCTCTGGCTTCAGTGTCATCAAGAAGTTCCAAACACTAAGTGTCTTTCTCTACAGATATCTTCAATTCCGACAGAAGTCAATTACATTGTCATTTGAATTGCTGTTTCATTAAAATGAAATATTTCTGGGGGTATTTATTAGGCTAGCATAGACTAGATTACAACCAAGAAATCTCAAAAACTTAAACCACAGATTTCTTTTTTCATTTGTATGAACGTCATCAAAGCTAAGCAAGTCTTTGTACCGGTGTCTCGAGGCCCCAGACACCTCCCATCTTGCAATTCTAGCAGCCTGGTTATTTCCTTCAAATCACAGTGGTGATTAAAACAAAGGTTATTCAATCTCAACTCTTTTGACTGCCTTAGACCAAAGTATGCATGCCACCTCATCCACAGCTCATGGCCCCATCACCATGAGCCCAGGCTGGTGTCTGTGTAGAGGAGGCAGGACAGGTAGACTACTGGAGAAACTGGTGATCACTACTGTCCCTGCCTTCTTCCTAGGATGTTCCACAGCTGCCAAAGACAGCATTTGGAAGAAGTGACAATAAAGGCCCATGGTGGGGCCACACAGAGCAAAGAGAAACCAAAGAGAAGAGATGTTTAAGGGGGAAAATGTCAGAGTGATTTAAATTTGTCTCAAAGGCAGAGAAATTCAATAAGAGCCAGTTGGTTTTAGATTAGAATTTGGAAGCTACTGGGTGTGGTGCCTCAGTATCTCTACCCAAAAACCTATAACCTGAGTGAAAGTAATTCATTTACTTAGCAGTTTGAGGAATCCAGTTTAAGCCATAGCTCCTCTTCCCTCTCTCCCTCCCTTTCTCTCTCCTCTTTTTTGGGGGGGGGAGCTGAGTCAAGGTCTATGTATTCCAAGCTGGTTTATCTTTCTGGGAGACTTGGTGGCCCAGTGATCAGTGCCCAAGTGCTGTAATCATAGCTTCTCAGGAGAAATCATTTTATCCCCACTATCATTTGTTACCAGAACCCTATGTTGTATTACAGGGACAGTTTCTTTCAGAAGCATAAAAGTGGTGTTAGTGTATCATATTAAACAAGAAGAAAGAAAAAGAACAGCAAATAATTCAAACTATTTCTAAATTGCTCCCATGCTTCCCCATGCCCCAAATCGAAGTGCCAGATTTGAAGTGGAAGAAGCCTTCTAAAGAACACTGTTAGTTTTCTCCTAGACATCTGTGACCTTCATTTATATGACAGCTAACAGCCAAACCTGCATAATCTTCTATGAGAATGTACAGTATGGTCTATGTATATGATAGTTTACTGAATAATCAGTATATGAGATTCATGAATTGGTGCTATAGACTTGTATCAGAGAGGGAGGGAGGGAGGGAGGGAGGGAGGGGGAGAGAGAGAGAGAGAGAGAGAGAGAGAGAGAGAAGACATTGCTAGAAGCTTTGGAGAGGCTGAAGTTTGCAGTTTGAGGTGGGTGGGATTTGACTGCAGAGAGGTGGGACTTCCTGGCCACTTGCCACCTCAGGCAAGTTGCGTTATTCACCTGTTACCTTATATGAAAAGCAGGGAGGCGTTCCCGTTCCTTGAGGTTCTGAGGTTCATGTAGTGCTGAATGACAGCACACATACACAAAGCTCTTCACTTGAGTGCACAGTGTCAGCTAGCTGCTGCCATTCCTTCTGGCCTGGGGGAAGCCATGTCCTTAAGCCCCCAATGTCCTTGGCTGAGGGAGCAGCCAAATGGTCCAGATGGGAGATGTGAAACTCTTGAGAGGTGGGGCTTCCATGTGTGGAACAGGACCCTGGGAAAATCTCAGCCTACTGCAGCCTGACTGACTCATGGAATTGGGGAAAGACTGACTCATGGAGTTGGTGCATGCCCGGGGCCCCTGTAGCTTGTTTCTTGGCTATGACCCAAAAGAAAGCCCTGAGCGGCAGTGTCTCTCTCAGGGTCTCTTCCTTCTTAGATGTCCTCTGCAAGCTGACAGGGAAGACTTCTAACAGAAGCCTTGATTCTGGGTCCTCCGCTGTGTCAGTTCAGTCTCTGCATCTTTCCTGAAGGAAAGGGCTTTGGCTCCAAAGGCCTTATCCAGAGACTGAGAGTCTGCATATGGGTTGTTGCTGTTCCACAGCATTTATGGCACCAGAAGTCCTACCACCCTTCACAGGCTCAACCCCAGCCCTGTCTCTCCCACTATGGTAGGTGTAAAGGATAAACTCACTTTAAGGACTAGGCTAACACCACTTCTTCTAAGCCTCCCTCCTTTCACTGGTTTCTCTCTGGGTTCCTTCCTTGTCCAGTCTGCACCGACATCAGTATCTCCAGCCATGGCTTGGCTCCCTCTGTCTCCCCTGTCCTTGCACTTATCTCCCACAATCCCTCTGGGCAGCAGGACTTTGCTCTGCTGACTCTCACTTTCCTCTCCCCTCACATGCTCTGAGGGCTCTCACAGGCAGCTCTTACCCTCAACTCTGCCATTTCCTCCCCAACACCCTGCTTGGACAAGGACACAGTCCTATCAAGTTCTCACAAATCAGGCTGGCTTTCAGAGAGCAGTTCAAAGCCTGTAAATCACACCATCCACACTCACAAGTCAGTTCCTGCCTGTGCGTCCACTCCAAAGTCTTTGAGCGGGGAGGTGAGAGGGGAGGTGTCTGCTAGTGATTGTTTTCTAAGCTTCTCTGTAAAAAAGAGTGCACCCTAAAAGATCAAGTTCTTCCGGGAATAAGAGTCTGGCTGCTCCTAGACTAGAAACTGCCCAGGGGAGCTCTTGAGGTCTTTAAGCATTTCAAAGCAGATGCTCTACAAGTGTTCAGACATGGAATTTTACTTGATCACCCATTTCAGGGGAAACTATAAGGAGGGGTCTAAAAATAAGTGCAGCTGATTAAGAAATAGAGGACAAACTCATTTTCTTATGATTCTTCATGCTTTCCACTCTGTCCCAGGTCAGAGGGTGGGAGGATGGCTTTAGCTTTGGGCTGGGAACAGCACAGCTGGTGTGGCAGGAACAACACAAACAAAGGCCATTTTAATTATGAGCACCTAATTAAAACACACACACAGTCACTCACACAGGCGCTCACACACACAGTGGAGAAAAGGAGGGAAGACAGGAGAGATAGAGGACCAGGGAAATAGAATTTTAGGTGAATTCAGAGCAGAAAGGAAGCCAGCCTCCTGGTCAACACTAAATTTTAATGGCACCATCCACCATTTACCCCGGGATCCCACTCAGTATTTGATACTTCCATCAAAATTTCTTCATGGCGGGCCCGGTGTGGTAGCATACACCTTTAGTACCCAGAGGCAGATGGATCTCTGTGAGAATGAGGCCAGCCTGGTCAAGTTCCAGGCAAGCTGGGGCTATAGAAGACCTTGTCTCAAAACCACCCCACCTCCAAATTCTTCATGAACACTCACCCAGGGCCCATGGTCCATGTAATCTTTTATAGCATAATGTGCTAAACTCACCATCATTAGTTCTCTTTTCTAAGCAGGCAACAGAATAGCCCACCTTGACTTTTCTTCCATGCCTGGCCAGTGCTGACCACGTCATCAAATGCTCACAGGGGACCCTGCCAGTCCTTTCTCCTTCCAGCCTCCTCCCTTTGCCACAGTAATCATAATGTCTCTGGGTACAAGGTTTACTTTTAATTAAACATCACCACAAACTACAATGTGACCATAGAACTTCCGAAGCTGCCTGCCTGCTCTTAGTTATCTGAACGTGCGGCCCATTGGATGCTGTTTTCTTCTCAAATATCCCCCTCATTTTAACTTGATTTTGTTTTTAACTCTGTAGTGAATTAATTCTTTTGTCAGTCATGGAGATCACCTCTGGATCATTTTTTCTTCCTGCTGCCTAGTCGGAAAGAGTATTGAAAACACAGTGTGGAAAGCCTCCTGGGAAGTCATCTTTACTTTAGTCACTGGCTGGAGTGACTTGCTCCAATCAAAAGTGAAAAACAATAAGATTTCCAAGTTTGTAGCCTGATGGGAACAGTTCTTGTTTCAAGCACCAACATTTTCCTTTTTTTTATTTATAGATTTTTTTTGTGTGTATTTCATACAGAACATCCCCAAACAATCTTATTCATCTTTATACCCGTATCCCAAATGGTACCCTCCCATAGCCTCCCCCCCACTACTGGAGCCCACTCCGTCATCCCTGTTACTGTCCACTGTGTTATCAGTGCACCCAGCTGTTCCGCAGTGCTTGTCCATCCACTGAGTCTAGTCAGCCTATCTAGATTCCTTGTTTTAGGAAGATCAGCTCTTGCTCATCTAGCAGCAATCATTTGCCAACATTCCTTTAATAAAGATTGGGGTCTGCTGTTCATTTTTCCATTTCTATGCTGGGTTATTGTCTGGGAGTCTCTTGGGCCACCCTGACCAATAACTCAAAGGAAGGTATCCCATGTCTGGCATTGCTTCTTGTTATGTAGCCTTTAGCTATACACATGGACTCTTAAAGAAATATACTTATCCCTTTAATCTTTGGTTATACTTTCCTTTTGGGTGTTTAAGATCATGCAGTTGGCCCAGATTAACCAATTTATTTTTACTCTTAAGGTCGTTTGAGGATCTGTTCCTCAGGGGTCACATGGGCTTGGGAGGAGCCCCTGGCTCCCTTCTTTCACCACTTCTATGTCAAGCATCAACATTTTCATGGAAACTCCTGCATTATGTGGCAGGAAAGCAACCAAATCTAGAATTCCTCCAGAAACAATAGCCTCTGTCTCTAGGATCAAACAGGATAGAGAAGGGAAACAAGTGACCTGCTACCATGACATAGTCCATCCTGTTTCTTGTCACCAATCCCAACATATCAACCTTTCTATTCCACTGACTACCCCCCATCATCCAAGATGGGCCTTTTCACAGTTCTGCCTTCATGGTATCTGGAATGCATCTCCATCTACCACACCCAGGCCTCCTCCCTCATCATTTGCAGACCTCCTCAGCAGGGCCAAGCTCTCTGGGACCCTACAACCCACTTTATTGCGGTCTCTGAAATCTAGCTACTTGTTTGCATGATTCAGCCTGTATTGACTGTGGATCTCACAGTAGTGCTGAACTTTCCTAGTCCTCTGAGTGTTTAGTGGTCATCACAGGCTTAAAGCATGTGTTCACGCATGGGTCTGGAGATTTTTTTTTTTTGGTGTGGGGGGCTAGGTTTGAAATCCTAGAATCACTAAGGCCAGCATGGATATTTCTCCCTCCCTCCCTCCATCCCTCTCTCCCTCCTTTCTTCCTTCCCCTCCCCTCCTCTCTCCTCTCCATCTCACCCTCTCTCCTCATAGTATTCCAGTATCTTTAATGGTTGGATAGACTGGCATGTTAACAAGGAAAGATGAGTACCCTCAATTTCCTCTGTGGGGGACTTCCTGTCTATATCCTAGAATCCATTTCAGTTTCTTGCACACCTGTGCTCACCTGTGCACAGCAGCCCCACAGCATAGTCAGGGTTGCAGCCACCCTGTCCTGTTTGCCGTGGGGATCACAGGACAGTTGATGGTCCTCTCTGGCGTCCAACACCCAGGGTCTAGTGTATACCCAGAAGTTCCAGCAGCGTTGGCCTCTGGCAAGGCTTTGAAGAATCAAGGAACAAGTGTAACTGAGAGCTAAGTTCTTTTGTTTTTCACAATGAGCTCCAGAAGGCAGTTTGTCACATTCCCACCCTGAAATAGCACAGCAAGGCAGAGCAGGGTGTGGGGACACCAACTCCTTTCCTTCCACTTCCTGCAGCAGTTGAAAAAAAACCCACAGCAAGGCCCAGATGATGAGTCCTCTGCAAACTGCGGGTGCCCAGGACCCACACAGCAGCACCTGCACTGCCAAAGCCGGCTTGTCTTGTCAGAACATCCCAGCGGAATCCTGAGAGGAGCCCAGGTGGGGTTCCGTCTCTGAGGCATGGAGCCAGAGCCAAAGGAGAAGCTCTGCCCTGGAGTTCTCTCATGGTACCACAGAGGTCGGATGTCTTAGTTTAAGATGGAAAGGGAGGCAGGACAAACTGTGAGGTCAATTAACCTCTGGATTACTGAAGAGATGACCTTTAAAAGTACTAGATCTGCAGTTTATAATGTTCACATGAACACTCAGGATCCAAACCCGAGCAGGCAGAAGCACAGTCTGGACTAACAGAACTAGAACTTTATTCACAGTAGAACAGTCCTGACCTATCCATTCTAGAATTGAAATCCAAAGATTTTAAGAATAAAAATTCTAAAATCTGCCAGACCAGCTGACAGGGAAAATGGGAAAAAAATTCTCCATTAAAGGAAACAACACAAAAATCAACTCAGACTTCCTCCTCTCCCCCATACCCCAGCCACCTCACACCCCATTTAAAAGCATCATTAAAGCCAGGTACGCATGCAAATTGCAAATTGCAAACAAAATACCAAATACCCAAGGAAACCTTAGGAATCCCCTAAGGATTTTTCACTAGTTCTCTGATGCTCTTCCTGTTTTTCTAAAAAAGGAGAGTCAAGTTTTGACAGCTGTGTCAAACTGGAGTTGGATGAGACCCCTTTCCTCAGCTTCAGCTGATCAGTCTGCAGAAAAGACTATCAACGCCAACAAGGAAGGAAGGGTGGCTGAGGTAAACCACCATGAGATGCCCTCACATGCCTGATCTGGACACCATGACATGGTCCAACTCTGCATTTAATGTAAAATTTCAATTTAAAAAGTAGAAAGGAGTTTCAAGGGACATCTTTGAGAAAAGGTATCTATCTAGGATTTTGACTCTGAAAGTTGATTTGTCCTAAATCTGTTGTCTGTTTCCTTGTTTCTGATAAAAAAATCTCCCACCTATAGTAGGGAATAATTTGTTCTGAACTGGTTAGACTCTCAGCTACAGGCTTCCTGAAAAAATCCAGGCTGTGAAATTCAGGGATGGGTCATTGACCCATCTATATTGACCATGTGTTGAGAGCTTACAACATCTATTTCTCTGCCTCACCTGACAATATTTTCTCCATGGTTTTGAAAATAAATAATTCAAAATATAGTGAAAAACCCAGGCAAGGACTAGCCAGAAAATTTTCCTGTCTCTTAACAGTGACTCATAAAACTCACACCTGCAGTTCCAGGCCAAAGAGTGAAGCAGAGGGTGTGAAGTGTTGGAGCGGCACATGAGGGCAGGAGTACCCCAGCCCTCACCCTGCATATATTATATGTTTCTTTATAAATAATACCTCCTGGATTCAAGAAGTCACAATAAAAATGCCAAAGGTGAGTTCTTTTTCCCTCAGTTATCTACCAGATTATATCCACATGGTAAACCGGAAACATCTTTATAAGAGCTCTGGCTGACATGATGGTCGAGGGCTATGTCTCATTCTAAGCCAGTTACCCACTCCTGTTGAATAATAAGGCTAAGAACAAAACATTTACTTTGCAATAGGCTCATAGCAGAGTTCCTTTAACTAAAAGTCCAACTAACGGTTTAATTTCCCCACCCTAAAACACTTGTTACGTAGAATAGTTTTCAAGGTCACATAAAATAGACCCATAAATGTAGTCAAGTTAGCTTAGAGTTTTTAAGGCCACATCTGTTACAGAAAATGGACCACCCAGATTAGTAAACGAACTCCAGTGGCTTGTCCGCTTTACCTATTTGCTGATATGACAGCTTGGTGATGCTGTCTCTTGGATGGGCATATGAACCATGTTGCCACACGACTAGTGATCAGAACCTGGTGTTTGGCCTGAAGTTTAACTTAGTCATTCCCATAAAGCCATCTTGGGAAATTTGGGCTTCATTTCCCTATTCCTCTCCACTGCCAAAAATATATTAATTTTGATCAATCATTTCACACCACTTTGGTTAGATGACCGTGACCTCTAAAAAGATCTGGAACACACAGAGGAGTAGCCCTTTAGGAAAACCAAACAGTGATGAACCATGTGGGTCACATTCCCAGGGAGCTCTCAGAGCTCATCCCTCGAAGGCACAGTGTCCAGGGACGTTGGCGGTGGCAATGCTTCTGTGTTCTTGGCATTACTGTGGATGTGCCCTTGCTTCCGGGACTTCCAGGAATGTGTCCTGTCCCAGTCAGTGGCCACTGTCTCATTGTCCCAGATGGTTGAGGTCTCTGTGTCACTCAGATACCCGGGCTGGCCTGTGTAGTGTGTGGGGTAGATGAGCAAGGGTTCTGCAGAGAAGGCTTTCAAGTCCCTGGAGTCATAATACTCCTTGTACTCGGCTCTGAAAACAAGAGATGCACAGGCTTGTGAGGGGCAGAGGGCTCAGGGAACAGGACGTAGTAGAGGGAACTGCTTGTTGCCTCTGAAACTACCTGGATTCCTTTCCTTATTTATGTTGTGTTCTTTGTACAGAGCCTTAGGCTACAAACACCATAAAGATTTCTTTAAAGCTTTCAGAAGATCTGCACCAATAAGCAAAAAGGTCAGGATAGGCTTCTTACAGACAGATAAAATAGTTTAGTGAATGAACTTCAAGTCCTGCTCTGAAAGGTAAAAGTTAAACTCTGTTGGATTCCTAGTGATAAATCAGCATGATCAGTTCATGAGCGGTGCTCTATTCCTGGATTGATAAACGAAGACATCTGAGATGCGGACAGCAGCAGTGGGGTTAGTGACTGGAGAAGGTCTTGGAGGCGCCTAGCTGAGCCTGAGCACTGCATTCCCCTCCCTTTCTCACCATCCTGCCTCTATGCAATTGTAAAGTAGAGGGACAGCTTGCTTTTCTCCTGAGGGTCCTGCAAAGGTTATGTGGAGTAACATCTATACGATACCTCTGTCCAAGAGTGAAATAAGTAGTAAATTAGTAACTGCTATTTTCCCTTCTCTTTCAGGCAATAATGACTTGGCTCCCCTGTTTCTGCCAGGGTTCAGAGGCAAAGCATGCTGCATGAAAGATGGCACGAGACTCCTTCTTTACAGATGACAAGAGAGAAAATGAGCAAGGTGCAGCACAGGAACCTTGACAGCTGCAGTGAGGATCAGAGTTGGAGAGCACTTGGCAACCGAGAGAAGGAGCCTGGTCTTCTGTGTCACTCATGACTTTAGAACGCCTTTACTGACTAGCTATTTACACACTCTAAAGACCCAGAAATGTGTGGCTGTTCCTAGCTCCAAGGGTTCATAGCCCACTGTGAGGACTATCAGGTACACCATCAAATTACAAAACCTTTTGGTAAGTGTCAGGTCAGAGTGAGCTCCTGGACCTTGGGAATGCTGAGCACTGTACTCCCCCCTTCCTCTGATACCTGGCTCAGGTACCATTTCCATATCCCCTGAATTCCTTGCCATCTCTATGACTGCAGGTATTATACTATCCCATGATGATTGTTCGTTGGTCTACATTATCTGCTACATTGTGAGCACTGAATGGACGGGTACCACTGCCTAGCTAGTGGCAAACTTGTTAACTGAGCATGAATCCAAAATCTGGAGTGCTTAGGAAAATGCCCTTCAGCTTCAGGAGTAAGAGGTTATGGAAGTCAGAAGTACAGAGACAAGTAGATTCTGAGTAGATTATGGTCCTGCGCATTGGGTATTAAAGAGGACCACTGGGCACACAGCCACCTCCCCTGCCTCTTCTTCCTTGTCTGTTCAAAGGACTGCTCAACCTTTTCTGGTTATGCTTATAGAAAGATCATTTGGAAAAGTCATACAGGAATAAACTATCAAATCCTATCCGGGGCTGTAATTCATGAACAGACTGTGGCCAAGGGACAAATGCTGTAGAGGGAGACTCACACTGGATGCTTATTGTACATGATTGGCAGAAACTCATCAACTGGCAGCATCTTCCCAAAGGGATCGGCTCCAACCAGCTTCTGTGCTCCTTCCAGAGAGATGACGTAGCCCAGAGTCCAGTAGGAATAGTCAGCTTCAACCAGATTTACAACATTGGGCACCGCTTTCTCAGGCTCTTTTACCTGCATCCTCTTCCTACCGATGTAACTAGTGAAATGGGTAAAGGAGAAAAATTCCAACTTGAGTATTAGAATATTAAATATTGTAGGAATAGAGTACATCTTTGGCTTTACAGGCATCTTTTAAAAGCTTGGACATCTTGTGTCTTTTGTTAAGGATCTTACCACACAGCAAATTCTAACAGCAGCCGTGACTGCCATCTGCCTTCATGAGGCTGGTTCCCCAGCTCCATTTGTCAGCACCCCAACAATTCCTACCTAGTAGTCTGTCTTCAGCTAGAAAATCAAGTTGCAAAGAAATGAAAAACTTATTGGATCATTTCCCAAGGATGATATGGGATTTCCAGCTGTGTTTACTGAGGTTGGAAAGAACAAAAAAAGCCAGATGTGGGACTCCTCTGAGTTTGCTGTCTTCAAGTCCCCAGAGATTCAGCCTCAGTGCTTTCTGCACAGCTTTCTACATGTTGATAGCAAACAGGATAGAAAAGGCTGTGGGAAAACAGTCTGCCTCAGAAGAACTACAAACTCAAGAGAGGCTCTGAAGAGTTCCTTCTGGGGAGTTTGGCAGTCTTGAAGGCGATCTCCTCTTTGCACTGTGCATACTTCTTCCCTGGCTCTCTGCTCTGAGGAAGACCCCAGGATATGCAGAACAGACACGCTTCACCTTCGGTTCTTCAGAGGACATCAAGCATATCCTCCAGCCTCAGTCATTTCCCATTAGAGGCCGAATTTCTTAAGTGTGTCATCCAGAGGAAGAGGGAAACTTCTCTTGAGCACCTGAAATGTGGCTGCAGGGGTTAAGGAACCAAATCTGTACTCTTACTAATTTAAATAAAATTTAAAATTTTAGCTATGTAAAATACTTTTCTTCCTATGAAGCAAGTTTATTATTTGGTATGACTACAGTTTTTTAACAGTTGAAGTGTAATTATATATTTGGTACAAAAAGTGAACCATCTCATTAATGGTTTTGAAAATATTAATTATATGCTAAATAATAGTATTTAAATATATTGGGTTAAATGAAATGCATTATAAAACTAATTTCACCTAATTTATTTTTTACCTTCCAATGTGATTAGAAAATTTGAAACAACATATGTGGTCCACACTGTGTTTCAACTGAAGAGCACTCTCTAGGTAATTCCAGTGATTTCTTAGATTATTCTTGCTATATTTATTTTTTATTTGTTATTTATTTTTTCTGGCAATAACAGGGCTGCAATCATGGATAGATTACTAGCTTTCATGTTTTGGGTTAAGTAACACTTCTTCGTTTTTGAAAGTAAGGGGTAAACATTAAATCCGTTATAGTTCTTTAAGACTGTAGCTATAATTTCATGGCTTTATCTCTGAAATTTGGAACACTTTTCCTTTCTCTATCCTTATCAGGGAAACTGCCATTCCTTCTTGGATCTGTCAGTATTCTGTCTTGAGAACGCACCAACCGACCTACAAGCGCACAGGGATGCATGCCAATTCTCTGCTTTGGGTTTCCTGAGTAGAGTCTTCTGTGATTTTGGAGCATCAGTGAAAGTTGCCTTTATGTGGGCCATGTGGCCATAACATGGCTTCCAGGCCCCGTGGGTATGAGTCTCGCCACAGACTGTACATCCATTATGAAATGCACTATGAAAAGTTTGATACCCATTTTTTATTAGGTAAACAACTATTAGAAGGACAGATGCAGAAGGACTGAAACGCAGTTACTTCTAGAGGACAGACGAGTGATCCCAAAGGACTGTGCAGAGTACCAGACTGAATCACACGACTCATGTCTGACAGGGGAAGGTCTCTTTTCATTACATGTACTGATTTTGAGGTCTCTTTTCCATGGGGTAGTTGGGCCATTGCTGAATTTCTGTGGAGTTCAAAATGGCCCGTTAGAAAACAAGTATTCCAGCAGAGTCCACAATTACATTTCCCCTGAGGATGAGAAAGCTGGAAGAGCTGGGCTCTGACAGCTGCTCCAAAGAAGCAGGCTCTGATTTGACAGGATTGCCTTTGACACACAGCTGGGAAGCTTGGGACTTTTCTGCCTCACTGGGAGAAAACGAAGTATTGTTTTATTTTACAAAGGCAAGAAGAAAGGGAGAAAATGAGGGCGAAAGGGAAAGATGGCGAAGTAATGACGTTCGCTCAATGTTTAGAGACAAAGAGCGTTAGCTAACGTCAGTGCTTCTTTAGTGAGTCTGGTTTTCTGCAGTAAGTGCAGTCAGCAGGCAGATTCTCCCTTCTTAGATAACCTCATCTCTCAAATGAGATGTTTTTAATCTGACCCTCCCACCTCCACCCCATCAGGGACTGCAGAGGCAACCCATTGTTGGGGGGGGGTGCTGAGGTTCAAGTTAGACACTTGCCCTTAAATGAATGACTCCTCCTCCTCCCTCTTCACATCCTGCCCACAGGCCATCTTGCCTCACAGGTGAGATTTCCACTATGCTCCCAAATGGTCCTCAGTGCCCTACTTCTGCTCTGTCAGAAGGCTCCTGATCTGCTTGCACATTCTAGTCTTATAAAGACTCTCCTACAGTCTCTTATTTTGAAGAGTAGATGGATACAAAAGCAAGTGGCTGACCTCTGCCTACTTTTTGTTTCTGGAAACATTTATGGTGTGAAAATCAGGCAAATGGAAGGAAGCTTGAGCTGTGTCTCCTACTGGCTGGGGAATTAGGGCTTTCTGGACCCTGAAAAGGACTGATTGCCTTCCCGTGCTATATGTCTGTGACTCACATCAGTTCCCAGTCCAGCTGAGCCTGGTCAATGTCATCCATCAACTTCATTAGCTTCTTCTTAAACTGATGCTCAAAGCGTACATCATCCTCAATAACTAGAGTCTTCTCCAGTTCTCGATCAATTACCTGTAAAGTCAGAAAATGCACTATGAAAAGTTTGATACCCATTTTTTATTAGGTAAACAACTCTTAGAAGTCAAGAGTATAGTAGTATAGCTTGTAAAAGCTCATAACTGGAATATAAGAAAATGCATGTTAAAAGTAGAATACATAAATTGTGGCATATTCACAGCAGTGAGAACATATGATCTACAGTTAAATCAGTGCTATAGTGGGAGCAACATTATAGATTATCATCTTCCAAATGCAATCCTAAGAAGTCACACCTGCAATGTAATTCCATTTATAGAAAAAGTACAAAGACAGGCAAAGCTATTGCATGCTATTAGAAGTCAGGACTGTATAGAGGTAGGCACATCTGACATGCTGGTCACCTGTTTCTGAGCCTACTATTGATTAACATGGGTGTCTCGTTCAGTTTGAGATTTCATTGAGTTGTACATGATGTGTACATAATGTATATTTACATACTTTTGTATATTTCTATTACATCTCATTTAAAATTTAAGAAAAGGCAGGCAAAAACTGTACCATTCGCCGGGCGTGGTGGCGCACGCCTTTAATCCCAGCACTTGGGAGGCAGAGGCAGGAGGATCTCTGTGAGTTCGAGGCCAGACTGGTCTACATAGTGAGTTCAGGTCAGCTGGGGCTACAGGGAGACCCTGTCTCAAAAAGACAACAACAACAACAACAACAACAACAACAACAACAGTAAAACTGTACCACTGAAGGAGAGAGGAGACTCAAAGGGTCTTTGTTTATTTTTTTCCTTTCCTTTTTTATTCCTTTTTGTTCCTCTCTTTTCTTACAGGAACTGACCATTATTCAGAAATCTTGCATTCTAATACCACCTCCACCAGCGTCTTGATCTATAAGATATAAGGTGAAGTTCTGGCTCTATCTTTTCTTACTGAAAAAGTTACTTACTAATTTCCTCCTGCATGAAGGAAATCCATCCTTCCTAACCCCACCTCACTTTATTTCTGTGTAATTCTTGTATGAATTCACTTGATAGATGATAAGACATCTACATGATGGACATGTACAAAGCATTCCTGTTGACAATGAAGGTGGATTAAGAAGAAAGCTTTTACGATGTGACTGTCTTCACCTGACACCATCCCAAGTGGCACCTGGGCCGTTCTCCGAGTGCTTTGTTGCTGGCCTTGGGCTGACGGGATGCACAAAGCAAGAGCAACTTTTCCAAGCCAGTCGTGGGCTCATCTTGCATCTGGTGTGAGTTTACCTGCAGAGTTCCACTCTCCCCTCTCATCACCAAACTGCTCCTTTAAATAAAGAATTATTTACCTCTTTCCAGACAGAGAAGTGACTAAGGAAGCAGCCAATTTCACCCCTGGTTAAGGGCCTGGAGGAGTAGGGATCTCGATAACCTGGAAGCATTTCAATATTCAAGGCCTTCAGCTGGCTTGTGTTGAGTGCCCTGCATGACAGAAAACATGTCTCAAGTTACCAAGTCACGATGTCCCCATGCCAGAGGAGGGAAAGAGGGAGAGGAAGAAAAGGAGGAAGGGAGAAGGCAGATTAGGAGAAGAAGAAAGAGGAGAGAGAAACACAGAGACAGAGACACATAGAGAGACAAAGAGAGAGAGAGACAGAGAGAGATAGAGAGAGAACATTTCCTCAGAGCCTCTCTACATACAGAAAAAGATTTTTCAGTTTCCCATAAGTCTTTTGAACTCCTCAGGGCTAATGCACCACAGTAACATTATGAGCATGTTGAAGGCGAGATGGTATCTTTCATTTTTACATAACATAGTTTTAAGTATCATAACTTAACTTGAAACTAGGACAAGGTAAAAAATAAAAACAACATAGTGGCATTTCCAGAATGGTAGAGTAAAGGCCTCTGAAAATCTGCTTTTCTGGAGAAGCAACAGGCATTGGCAAAACTGATCACAATCAGCTTTTCCAGAACTCTGGAAATCAAAGTCTTCCAACAATACAGGGAGTACTTACTAAAACAAATGAACAAGCAAACAAACAAACAAAACAACCCAGCCGAATCGCTATAAGAATAGTTAGCTTTGTAGAGTTTACATTTGCATTTCTCTCCAGTCCTACAGAATCCTTGAAAACCACCCGCCTCACAAAATGATGAGTAGTTGTGAAAAACAGCTGTCTAGTAGCTCCTGAAAGTGACAGGGTGGATTGGGACACCTAAAGACCTGTCCCCAGGAAACAGCCCCCATTAGAGTAGAAGCACCAGTCTCAGAGCTCGTCTTTATGTACAGGTTCATCCTCTGTGAACAGTAGTGCATTTGTCAAAAACAGGTTACAGAGCTATCAAGACAGCTGGTTAAACTTAATGAGAGCTCAACCTACATTACATAAACAGTAATGGTAAGAGAGCTAAAAGGCTATGGGCTAAGTTAATAGCAAACAAAATATATGTGAAAATATATGCTAGAGACAAAGATGATAAATGCATTAGGTAGATACAACAATCATAAATATATATTCATCTAACAGCAGAATCCCCCAAACACAAAGCAAAATGGAGCAAAATTGAAAGGAGAAACAGACAATTCAACAGTAAGAGTAGGGAACTTGAATACTCTGCCTTTAATAATAAACAACTAACTAGCCTGGGGGACAAGGAGGACACAGGAAACTTGAATCACACCAATAACCATCTAGAGCCAGCAGACATCTGTAGAACACTCCATTCAATGATAGCAAAATATGCATACTTTCAAGAGCATTTGGAACATTTTCTAAGAAAGGCCATATGTTAGACTGGAAAGATCATGAAGATCATAAACTCAACCGATTAAAAGGACTGGACTAATCCAAAGTCTGTTTTCCAGCAACATGGGCTATAATCAATGATCAGCAACAAAGGAAATTTTTGAGATATCCACAAATCTAGGAAATGAACATGTTCTTGAATAATCTAAAGGCTCAAGAAGAAATCATGAAGAAAATTAGAAAATATTTTGAAATGAATGAAAATGCAGTATATCTTATGGGGTACATTTTATACAGCACTTAGATATATAGTTACAGATGCAAATATCTATATTAAAAAGGATTGTCTCAAATAAATGGCTTAACCTACCATGTTTTAAAACGAGCCAAAGAAAAGCAACCCAAACTCATATCAAATAGGAAAAGGGAATAGTAAAGATTATATATAGTGGAATAAACAAACTATAGACTAGAAAACAGCACGATTATAAGATCAACAAAATTTACAGTCTTTTACCTAGACCAATAAATAGAGAGCATAGACCCAAATTATTAAAATCAAGAATGAAATAGCAGGAACCCCTACTGACCTTAGAGAGGTAAAAAGGATTGTTCCATCAACATTTATTTCCCCAAATTGGATAACCTAGATGAAATATGCAAATGCATATAAAGGTATAAGCTACTTAAATTGCTTGAAAAATAAAAAATTCTGAGTGAATCTGAAACAAGTAATGAAGTTGAGTTCATAATCAGAAAATTTTCCACAAAAAAATGCCCAGAGCCAGATGGTTTCACTGGAGAATTCTGCCAAATATCTAAAGAACAATTAACACAAATTTTTAACAACCTTTAAAAAAAATAGAACTGGAGGGAACATACCCTGATTCTATAAAGCCAGTATTATCTGATACAAAGTCAATGCTCTCACCAGAAAACGGTAGGCCAATACCCCTAATGAATATCATGCAAAACTCTTCAAGAAAATACTACAAATAGAATCCAGCAACATAAGTAAGGAATTATACATGACTAAGTAAGATGTATTCCAGGACCACAAGTTAGGTTTAACATGTAAAGATCTATCAAAGTAATGCGCATGTTGATAGACAAAAGCTTCGTGACCATCTCAGTGGATACAGGAGAAGCACTTGACAAAACCCAACATCCTTTCATGTTGACAAATTTCAAGAAAATAGGAATAAAAGAGCATATCATCGACTCTATAAAACCACACAGCTAATATAATACTTAGTGGAGAAAGCCTAAATGTGTTCTCTCTAACACCAGAAACAAGACAAAAATGTCAGTTCTCACCATTTCCTTTGAATATTGTACTTAGAGAAATCAGTATCTAGGTTGGAAAAGAGGAAGCAACACTATATCAAGTTATAAATGACAAAGTTTCACCTGCAGAAAACCTGTAGAATTGGGTTCTCTCTCTCTCTCTCTCTCTCTCTCTCTCTCTCTCTCTGTCTCTCTCTCTCTTAGAACTGATAAATACACTCAGCAAGATTGCAGGACGTATGATCAATATACATAAGTCAGTCATGTTTCTATACATTTAGCAATGAACACTCTGAAAATGATATTAAGGGGATAATTCCACTACCATAGCATCAATAAATTCTTAGGAATAAGTTTAACAAATCTAATGCAGATCTTACAAACTAAAAGCAACAAAACATCATTCAAAGAATTAAGGATCTAAGTAAGTGAAGAGACAGGTTATGATTCTGAGGCAGAAGACTTGGTACTCCCTCAACTGATTGTAGATTCAGTTCAATTCCTATCAAAACCCAAGCTGTGGTGTGTGTGTGTGTGTGTGTGTGTGTGTGTGTGTGTGTGTGTGTAATTGACAAGATAACATTAAAATTCACAAAAATGTCAGACACCCATAATAGCTAAAACAGTTTTAAAAAAGAGTAACTTTATGGGGGCTGGAGAGATGGCTCAGTGGTTAAGAGCACTGACTGCTCTTGCAGAGGACCTGGGTTCGATTCCCAGCACCCACATGGCGGCTATGAACCGTCCTTAACTGCAGTTCCAGGGGAATCCAAAGCCCTCTTCTGGCCTCTGCGGCATTGCATGACATGGGTACACTCACATACATGCAGGCAATACACTCTTACACATAAAGTAATAAATAAAATTTAAAAAAGAGTAACTTGATAGAATTAGCATATATGACAGAATGCATGAAATTCAGTGGGGAAGACTCTGAGGGGCCCAGATGGGAGAGGGGGCATAAAGATGATTAAGAAATGCACAAAAGTTCAATAAAATACACATTAAAAAAATAACAAAGGCAAGGGACTCACTGTTCTTACGTACAAAGCTACAGTGGGAAAGCCAGTGTGGTACTGGCATAAAGATGGAGCCATAAATTAATAGGATAGAATTGAGAGCTCAGAGCTAATCCTGACATTTATGGTCAAGTGTATTTTGACAAGTGTGCTAAGAATTCAGGGGTTAAAGAATAGTCTTTTAAACAGATGTAACAGAGACAACTGAATGACCATATACAAAAGAGAAAATTGGATCTCCACCTTATATATAAAGCTTAGCTCAACATGGATCAAAGACACAATGTACATGATAAAACTGGCACACACCTGTAAATCCTAGCACTCAGGAGGTTGAGGCAGGAGAATAATAAGTTCAATGTCAGCCTAGGCTACATAATCTGTTCTGTGTATGTGTGATTTTCCTGTTACATCTCCAGGAAAAATGGTCAGTGCCCTGAGGGAATGTTAGGTACATCATACAACAGGAAATACAGACCTTTACCTATATTTTTGTTTATTTTCATCAGACATAAATAAAGTTCCAAACACCTTCTGCTATACCACAGAAGGTTTGAAACCACCACGACTCTTCTGAGAATGACCAGAGACAGGGCAATCATGTCCAGTGTAGTGAGGATGCAAAATCACTCAGTGGGGAGTAGGTCCCAGGCCTGCTCTACCATAGTAAGCTAACATCACTGCTGCTGCTAGAATCTCTATCATGTGTCTATCCTCTATGGTCCCCCACAGTCCCAGGACCTCTTCTGTATCAGAGAAGGCACCACCCCACTCCAACCAACCTGCAAGGGGACAGGCAGCTAGACTTACTTGCCATCCACCGCCTCCACGATCTTGACCTCGATCTCCTGTTCATAGAGTGTTCGCAGCATCCTGTCCCGCCTGTCCTTCCTGCGTTTGAGGTTAATCATGAAAATCTAACACGGGAAGCAAAAGGGGAAAGAAACACAAATGGCTCAAATCTTATTTTAGGCTACTTGAGAAGCAGTAGCAACTGTCAGGATCTGAGGTTTTTGTAGGATAAGGAATGAAAAAAGAGAAAACTGTGGTAAGGAACTTTTTAAGTCCATACTCGGCTCATGGAGGACAAGCAATATTTATCCAAACTGGGCTACTTTTACTCTCAACCATCTGCAGTGACCAGACCCTCTGCTTCTCTGATATTTATTGATAATGTTCTCCCTGCTCTTGAGAAAATAAAGTTCAAAAAGTTATTATTCAAGAGGCCAAAGGTGAATTGTACACCAAACACCCAGCACTGCGGGAGAGGAAGTAGTTCACCAAGTGGTTAAATCAAACTAAATGGTAAAATTTATTTGCATACTTGAATTTTTAAGTACTGTTACTTGCTGTGTGTCTTAGGCCAGTCCCTATTCCTCAGTTTCCTCATCTGTGGTCCAGCCCTATGAGTACTACATATTAGTATCATCACAATTTACATCCACTGGGTAAGTTTCGTCACTCAAAGAATAAGAAAATTAGCTAAGAGATGGAGGCAACCTAAGTGTTCCTCAACTGATGAGTGGATAATGAAAATGTGGTTTATTTATACGATGGAGTTTTACTCAGCAGTAAAGAAAGGTGAAATCATGAAATTTGCAGGTAAATGGATGGAACTAGAAATTGTTATACTAAGTGGAATAACACAGACTCAGATCTAAAAAAAACCTGACATATGTTCTCCCTCATATGTGGATCCTAGCACCAAATTCTGATAAGTGAGTATGTATCCAAACATAACTGCAGGAGCCAAGATAATGGAAAGGAACCAGGGAGGTAAAGGAAAAGAGAGAATCTGAAAGAGAAGAACAGTAGGAAACAGGCATTAATAAGGGAGATATGGATAAAAATGGGGTTATTTTAAGGGGAGGGGGGAGGGAAGGGTATACAAGGAACCTAGGGGTTAAAGGGAAAGAAGGAGCTCAAGAGAGGTAGGACCATAGGAGAAGGGTATTATTAAGGGAGAAATGGGAAAAATGGGGGCACCTTAAGTGGGAAAACCATGGTGGAAAGATTAGACAATGCGAGAGATAAATAATGCCTAGCTAGTTTTAAAAAACCAGAGGGAACTATATTGGTCCAACAGCATACTGACAAGTTATACATACAACTAGCTCAAGGAACATAATATATGTCTAGGCAGGTTTATCTGAGATAGTTTGGTCTTTGCCCAAGCTTTATCTACATAGCACATGGTAATTAAAAGTACCTGACTTGTGAATCTAACCTTCTTGGATGTCTAAGAGCCATACTTTGAGGCCTATACTAATTTGGTCAGAGGGACATAAAGGAAAGTTTTTGTTCCTTGCCCTCCTAGGTCAACTAAGCACAAGGGGACTATGAGCATCTCAAAATGTCCTGTAACTGTGGTGCATCACCTGTCCTCTTGATCAAGGAGGCCACGGAAAACCCACCAAATGGACTTGAACTAGTTTCCAGTCCACAAGAGGAGGGTCAACACAGAGGAAACATTTCCTCCATGCTTCCAAGAGAAGCCAGCCATGGTCAAATAGGATTTTTGACTTATCTTCACATAAATGGAACTGGTAAAAGAAAGGAGCCAGGGGTTCCTCCCAAGCCCGTGGCCAACTGTAGGGTCTTAAACACCCAAAAGGAAAGTGTAACCAAAGATTAATGGAGTCAATATAATTTTTTAAGAGTCTATATGTATAGGTAAAGGCTACATAACAAGAAAAAATGCCAGGCAGGAGATACCTTCCTTTGAATTATTGGCCAGGGTAGCCCAAGAGACTCCCAGACAGTGACCCAGCATAGAACTAGGAAAATGAACAGCAGACCCCAATCTTATCTAAAGGAATATTGACAACTGATTGCTGCTAGATGAGGAAGAGCTGTTCTTCCTAAAACAAGGATCTCTAGATAGGCTGACTAGATTCAGTGGATGGACAAGCACTGGGGAATGGCTAGGAGTGCTGACAACACAGTGGACAGTAAGAGGGATGACAGGGTATATGAGCTCCAGTGGGGTGGGGGGAGGCTATGGGAGAGTGCCATTTGGGAAGTGGGTATATAGATGATTAAGATTGTTTGGGATGTTCTGTACGAAATACACACACAGACAAATCAACAAAATAATGAGTTATATTTGAGGAGGAAGCATAAAAATTTACTTCATGTTTATTAGTAGAGGTGATAAACATTACCATTGAAATCTACCTGATAACTTTATATCCATACTCAGGTGCCAGGGATTCAAGTGTAACTGACTGTGATTCGTAATAATCAGATACATAGAGATCAGAGACACATGTGCAAACATCTAAGCATTCGTAGCATTAAAAATGAGTCTTTCTGTAGAAAATAGTATATTTTAAAATGAAATGGAGATCTTTTTTAAAGGTTAAAAACTCATTCAATTTTATGCCTTACAGGGTTTATACTGAATTCAACATTGTATAACTGTATTAATTTAACTGTGAACTCTTAAAAAATTATATTGGCCCTTTAATCTTTGGTTATACTTTCCTTTTGGGTGTTTAAGGCCATACAGTTGGCCCAGATAAACGCTGTAAGGAAATGCTTCTTCTAATCATGTGGTTATTAAATAAATAAAAAAATTAAAAAAGAATGAGAAAATTCTCAAGCCTTGATATAGTGCTTTTATTCCTAAAGCTTCCAAGCAAATATCAAGATCTAAGTCTTGTTAGTTGTTTTTGCCAGAGTTTTCCAACCTCATGGTAACTAGAGGAGAAGAAAATGAAGAAAGGGGGCCATTCCCATGGAGGTTGGCAGAAAAGGCCAGAGAAACGGCGAGACATAATTTCAGCGTCTGTTTCTGAAGGAAGTGCTATACAGAGGGCAGCTGCTCATTTGAAAAGGAAGGAACAGTGTGCATTTAGACTTCCTCTGTGAGTGCTGGGTCCACCTGCACCTCCCACTTCGGCCTGTAAGTGCCTGACAGCAGCACTCATGCAGTAACATCATATGGCCACCAAACCCTCAGGAATGGTATCACAGGTAAGCTAGCATTTTACATTTATGTATTATTTATGTGTGTGTGTGTGTGTGTGTGTGTGTGTGTGTGTGTGAGAGAGAGAGAGAGAGAGAGAGAGAGAGAGAGAGAGAGGGAGAGAGAGAGAATGTGTATGGGTGTGCCTGCCAGAGCATGTGTAGAAGTCAGAGGACAATCTGCAGGAGTCAGGTCTCTTTCCATTATGTGGATCCTTGGGATGGAACTCAGGTCCTTTGGCTTGGCAGCAAAATGCTTTTTCCCACTGAACCATCTTTCTGGCCCATAAGTTAGCATTTTAATAAGAGTCTCTAGCTACAAGCAATAATAAACTGGTTTTGAATGTTAGACTAGTCTTACAAGATTGGGAGACTTCAGCTCCCAGCAGGAATTGATAATGTCACATAGCATGGTGAATAAGAAACATTCAGCAACAGGTCAGAGGATGCTCACTTCATGCTTATTAACTATCTGTACAGCTCTGAGGAAGCCCTTTAATGTCTCTGGACCCAGTCCTGTTGTCTATAAAAGGAAGGGTTTGAATGAACCCATCCCTCAAGCCCAGTACACATGAAAGCTTCTCTATATGTAGTTTATAATAAAATTGGCTTTATGTTATGATAAGAATAAAGAAGAAATCCTACCTTATAACCAGCCTGGACCTCAGACTATACTACATTAAGCTTTGGCTTAATGGTCATCTTGAATATAATCTTAAATATATGTTTAGTAAGATCAAAAGTTGTAAAACTTTCCCTACCAACTATGAGCAAATGGCCTCATTTTTATTTGTATGTTTATAAGTAATAACAATTACAAATAATGAAGATTTTTATCATGTTCAAGCACCCAAAAAAAGTTATGCTAACTAAACTTTAAATCCTCCCCTATTAAATATCTTATTTCTATCCACATATAAATTCCTAGAGAAGAAATTGGTATGGGAGCAAGATGCTTTCCTCATAACCTCTCCATATGTGATGTAGAGCTCAGAAGAGCTGATGCAGCAGGATTTTATTAACTCCTTTGTTTACTTAATTGGATAATTATTTTTGTAAAAAACTATGATTTCTGTGGTGACTGTGTGCTTTATAACTTGGGACTTTATAACTTAACGGGCTATGTTCTTCCATGTTTTGTTTTATCCCTGTTTAGAATCCCGCTGTCATGGGCCATGTTCCATTCTCCAGTTTTACAGACACAGGAAGGAAATAGCATTTCCTCCTCTGTAGCAATGGAGCCACCTGGGGTCACTCTAGGAGAATAGAAACAAAGCAAAACCAAACAAGATAAAAAATAAGCAGAGAAGCATCCCGAAAGTCTCCTTAAACTAGAGGCATCCAGTCTAAAGGGCTTTTAGTGAAAAACAGTCCGTCCGAGGCCCTGCCAGGACAAGTGCAATAAAGTCAGTAGCCACGAAGGAAAAACACAGACGGTTCGCTCATACTTAGCGAACAGTAAACAGAAAAAGAGAGCTGTGCAGCCAAATGCAGCCAGACACCAGCAACGAGGTCACAGTAGGGAGGACTGAAAAGGCTTCTGACAGCCCATGTCTGGTTCAGACAGAGAGAGGATTATCCTGGCCTCAGAAAGGTGGAGCTCCTGAGTGGTGACTTCGTAGGCTGGCCTTTCCAGAGGACTGAGGGGTAACACAGGCCTTATACCAAGTCCTGTCTAAACAGAAGCTAGAACATCCTGGTTTTGTCCCATTTCATTTGCTGTGATATGATCCTCACAGAAATGTGACTTCAGGAGGGAAGATGAAGATATCAAAAGACACTTGGGTCCTTTCTCCTGGAGAACTGAGAGGGACCAGAGCTATAGGGAAGGAGAGCTACACCTTGAGAAGCTGTGCACTGTGGGCTGTAATGCTGGTCACTTTACTTTTTTAATAAATAGTAAACAGAAGTAGACTCAATTGAGTCTTTGCCACACTTAAATTCATGTTGTCTTTTACTGTGCTCTGTGAAAATAGCACAGCAGCTACTCTTTCCACTTGATATCCATGAAGTGCTCATTCCTATTGGCGAAGTCTAGCTTCAAGTCAGTTTTTAAAAATATTTTATGTATTATTTTTATTTTATGTGTATGAGTGTATTGCCTGCATGTATGTGAGTACACCCGTGTCGTGCAATGCCATGGAGGTCAGAAGAGGGCTTTGGATTCCCCTGGAACTGGAGTTAAGGACAGCTTGTAGCCACCATGTGGGTGCTGGGAATTGAGTCCCAGTCCTCTGCAAGAGCAGTCAGTGCTCTTAACCGCCGAGCCATCTCTCCAGCCCCTAAAGTCAGTTTTATAGATGAGATCCCAATTCCCAGTTCCATCAGATCCTTATGATGGACACATTTCGGGTACAGAGGTGTTTATGTTCCAATGTGATAAGGCATTTTCCTTCCATTAAATAGGGGCTATATGAACTCAAAGCACAACACTTGGTCTATAACACACCCAGAATCCATAGAAGAATTCTGTCTCCATTTGTGAATTCTTGGTAGGTTCACAGCTTCCAGACAATGAAACTCCTCCTCGATACTGACCAGCAGCCATGTGACGGGCCATGAAGTACTCACTGACGTGGTCTCACAATTCTGGCCCTGCCAACCACCTGTTTTATACTTTCCACTCTATTTCCTTCCTCCCCTTTCTCGCTCCCCTCCTCCCTCCCTCCCCATTCCCTTCCCCCTCCCTGCCCCCTCCTTCTCTCCCTTTCTTCCTCTCTCTCTTCTCTCTTTCTTTCTTTTCTTTCATGTATGGTGTCAGGAATTGATTCTAGGGTTTCACATATGCTTGGAAAGTGGCTACTGCTGAGCTATACCCCAGCCCTGCTTTGTTCTTTATGTACTTAAAACTGTGAAGCCTTTGAGAGGGAGGGAACTGACACTGATTCTAACCACTCCAACAGCTATCAAGATACCTGAAAGAAAATCCTGAATCCATCAGTCTAGAGTCCAGCCTTGGAAGACAAAAGAAACATGGGGATGCTTTTCGAAGCCCTTGTCAAGAAATTCCAATGGATTCTCATATGAACATTTGAAAATTGCCCTGTTCTGACTTTTTTCTAGTTCCCTGTCTAGAACTTGTAATGCTATTTACTCTTGCCTTTACTTCTCCTTCACATCTCCTATTCATGATTCAGGGACTTTCTTTTCCCTTTAGAGATAAGAGTTATGCAATTTGGGAGTCTTTTAGATAGACCTACTGAAGTACTGAAGGGGTACTCCAATTGCCTCACCCTGCATCCCTGTTCAGCATGGAGGAAGCCAGAGTGGTCTGTGTCCTGATTCCCTATTGGCAATTTGGGTCACTTCTTCAGAGGATGGTGTGATAAGAATAGGAGGTGGGAATTCGTTAGGCAGTTAGGGTAAAAAGACCTCAAAGAAAAGTAGCCAGTTTCTTGGCTAAAACTCACAATGTCCTTGGGCTTCTTAGCTCTTAGCAACCTACTCCATTCCAAAGACCAAAAATGTCTAAAATATTTGGGAGTTTTTATCTAATCCTCAAAAGATTTTAGGGTTACCTCTTCAGAAGGGGGAATGTTAGAGTAGCCAAAAGCCCCATAAAAAAATAAAAGAAGAAGAAAGAGTACATGAAGTTATCAGAAAAAGTGATGGGGACATATGGGAGGAGTTGGAGGGGAGGGAGTGGGCGTGGATTTGATCAAAACACCTTATATGCATGTTTGAAATTCTCAATAAATTACTTATTTAAAAAAAACCTGCATAGTGGATATGGCCCTAGGAAAACTACATTTCCTGCCTGCTGGTAGACATTTTAGAATATGTTTTTCTCTTCTTTTGTCTTTTTAACTCTGCCCTCCAACCTTTCTTCATGGAAGAACAGCAGAAAGTGAAGCATGCAGTGTTCCAGAAGCGTTTCCATTCACTCAGCTACGGCCGAACGAAGCCAATGTCCCTCAAAACCTGAAACACATATTCTCTTTCTCTTATCCTTGAACCGTAATGAAAAGACTGATAAAAGACATCAAACTCACATTCATTACTGAATTCTTTCTGATTCAATTTTCCATTATCCTTCTTTTTGAATATCAGAAAACTGAATGACAACAAACCCGTCATTTTCCTGAGTCGTCAGAGCCTTCCCAGTTGCTTAGCTGGCCCTGCTGGCTCTCAGACAGATGTTCAGGCTTCTGTTTCAACATAAACACACAGGCCTCTGCACGCATGTGTACACACAGACACACACGGACATTTTCCTACCTCATCAAATCCCATCTTGTCTGGATATTTAGGGACAACAGACACAAACTGAGAAGGTTCCATTGGAGGACGGTCAACTGGAAGACAGAAGAAACACAGAGGGCTTTGTTAGACAAAGGATCTGGATATAGAATTCTACCAGCACCCATGATCTGTAAGGCTGGGACCCATGCTGGACATCCAGGGCAGGAGACGACTGCTCGGCAGATTCTCATGGATCAGACAGGACACTGGCTTCACAGTACCAGTCCATATACAAATAAAAACATTTGCTCCATTTTCCTTAAGATTTATTCTAAGAGTACATGGGAGACAGTATAGGGTAATGGTTGAGAAGTTTCTGAAGTTAGACCCATGGCCCAGGAAGGCCTCAGAGAACTGTTTCTTCACATGTAAACTTGGGGTAACATGCGTATCTCTCACTGTATTTTGAAATTTAAGTGAGACCTACATGCAAATGTATTTAGCACATTAACACAGCAAATTCTCATAACTGTTAATCATGTGGCCCATGGGAAAAGTGCCAAGAAGCAGAAGCAGGATCATCCCCGCCCCCACCCCGAGAATGGTGCTTTTTATGCTTTTTAAAGTGCAAAGTTTTGGACTACTTTTATCCTATCCAGTGGGAGGGGTGTAAGTTTCTTAACCACCAGCTCACCTCTAAGTGCTGGTTCACATCTCAGGACTTGGTGTAGAGACAATGAAAGATTCAAAGTGGGAGGGATATTGCATCCTAAGCAATAAATTTTTAAAAATGCATTTGCTCCTTTAAAAAGCTTTCTTTATATACTCTATACTCGCATAAGTGTTGTTCAAAGAACCTGAGAAGGCCTTGATGCACCCTAAATGATAATATGACAAAAATTTCAAATGAGAGCTGGTTAATAAGTTGTTTAAGGGACTGATGGTGGCTGGGGAGATGACTTAGTCAGTAAAGCACTTGCTGCACAAGTATAAGAACCTGGATTCAAATCCCCAGTACCTACTTAAAAGCCAGTGGTGCACATCTGTAACCCCTGAGTAGGTATGTGTGAGGGAACAGACGGACCCCCAGAGTTCATTGGCTAGCCAGTCTATGTAATTGGCAAACCGTGAGTTCAGTAAGAGACCCTGAAGAGAATGATAGATGACACTTGATGTCAACCTCGGGCAACCTCTGGCTTCCACATATAGATGTGTACACATATCCATGTGCATTTGTCCTCCATGTGCGGGGAGGGGG